TATACCGGTATTTTAAATTTGGGTCTAATCCCTTGGCTAAAAGTGTTCCCTTTTCCATGACCTTTCCAAATTTAATTTTTTTTTATTTTGTAACTTCCAGCATTTGTATGGATTCTTTGGAGTATATTAAAAAATACAAACAACTTCAGGAAAACTGGAGCTCCCCAAGGCTGGTATCTGGGCATTTTCTTGAAGGTGGCACACTCCCCCACCATTACCCACTAGTGCATTTGCAAAATGTGTAGCATCTTTTCGTGTTTTTTATTATGGCAAAATGCCTAGCAACGTTATTACACGTACAATGTACATCTCAAGGTTACCAGTGCTGCCCAAGTTGCCATCTTGCTAGGCAGTAAAGCACGGTGGTACCGGTAGATATTTTAAATAAATAATAACACAATGCCTGGTTACAGGATGCTGAAATTGTGATTTTGCAAATAAATTGGCAATAGGATATTGAAATAAATTAGATGCACCTTCTCAGAAATAAAGTTGAAGCAAGAAAGATATTTTGAAAATATTCCGGTATTTTAGATTTGGTTGTTTAAAAATCCCTTGGCTAAAAATGTTCCCTGTTTCATGACCTTTCCACATTTTAATTTTTTGATTTTGTAACTCTTTGGAGTTTTATACAAATAATAAAAAAAAGACTTCAGGAAAACTGCAGCTCCCCTAGGCTGATATCCGACATATTAACAACTTGTACAATTGCAAAATGTATAGAATCCTTAAATAAAGGAATAAATGTGTGATTGGAAGGTATTAAACACTCTGTTTAAGACCGGTTGAAGTCTGGATGCTGATAGTTAATCGAGCTGAATAATTACCCTTTCGGTAAAAAAAATCTCAACTTTTCGGTCCACAAGAGTAAAAAAAAAAAGGCAAAAATTACAAATTCCAATGATTTCGTTCAACAAAACACCACACAATGCTAAGGCCCTCTGGTAAACAACAACTTATATGGAATGCTGTGTGATGTCGTGCAGAATGCAAATGTACGGGTGTAGTGTGAATTTAGGACTATGATGTACTGACTCACTGGTAGCATTGTGCATGCCTGCGTGAGGATTGTGAAGGTTCAACCAATAAAACCATGCCGGCACCAGATTTCATACATGTACCTTTTAAGAAGCAACAGTAATTACTGACTGGCAATAAAAAAAAATGGACACCATGCAATTTGCCTACCTAGTAGAGATTCGAACCCACAACGACGAGAATAAAATACTCAGTCTGTCCAATATAAATAAAGCTTCCCTGTTACAGGACGGAAAAAGGACTCTAGCAATAAAAGACAGTGACCATATCAGGAATCAGACCCATCATTACAAGAAATGCTCAAAATTCCAAGCTCAAAAGGTTCTAGACACACAACTTGAAATCATACATGTACACTTGGTGAACGACTGAAACAAAACTGAAATGACTAAAAAATAGGAATGCTGCTAACAACATGAACAAGATGTTGCCAAGTGCTGTGTGTGAAAACTACTAACAAGCGTTTACTGCTTATTATCTTTCTAAATTGCTTATAGAATAAAAGTCTGAAACAAAGTGTAATTTGTCCAAGAAAATAGGCAGTGTTTTACTTCTTTTAGAAACCATTTAGAAAGGATGTAAACATTTACTTGATCAAGTTGACAAGTCTTTCAAAATTGGCTTTCTAGCATTACATATACATGTGTGTCAGCCAGTCTGAGGACCGTAGTGATTTTTTTTTTTTTTGATTTTTTTTTGCTTTTGCTGTTCCTTTGCAGTCATATGGTTTTATCTTAAGTTCTGTATCAGTCTATTTTATGCTATGTTACATGTATGTATAATTTCTTATCTTGTATTGTATTGTTTTTATTCGCTATACATGTATTACATGATCTTGTATTGTATTGTTTTGATTCACTATATAAAATGATAAAAAAATAATAATAATAACACAATGCCTAGTTACAGGATGCTGAAATTGTGATTTTGCAAATAAATTGGCAATTGGATATTGAAATAAATTAGATGCACCGTCTCAGAAATATAGTTGAAGCAAGAAAGATATTTTGAAAATATTCCGGTATTTTAGATTTGGTTGTTTAAAAATCCCTTGGCTAAAAATGTTCCCACATTTTAATTTTTTGATTTTGTAACTTACAGCAATTTTATGGATTCTTTGGAGTTTTATACAAATAATAAAAAAAGACTTCAGGAAAACTGCAGCTCCCCTAGGCTGATATTTGACATATTAACAACTTGTACAATTGCAAAATGTATAGAATCCTTAAATAAAGGAATAAATGTGTGATTGGAAGGTATTAAACACTCTGTTTAAGACCGGTTGAAGTCTGGATGCTGATAGATAACCGAGCTGAATAATTACCCTTTCCGTAAAAAAAATCTAAACTTTTCGGTCAACAAGAGTGAAAAAAAAAGGCAAAAATTACAAATTCCAATGATTTCGTTCAACAAAACACCACACAATGCTAAGGCCCTCTGGTAAACAACAACTTATATGGAATGCTGTGTGATGTCGTGCAGAATGCAAATGTACGGGTGTAGTGTGAATTTAGGACTATGATGTACTTACTCACTGGTAGCATTGTGCATGCCTGCGTGAGGATTGTGAAGGTTCAACCAATAAAACCATGCCGGCACCAGATTTCATACATGTACCTTTTAAGAAGCAATAGTAATTACTGACTGGCAATAAAAAAAATGGACACCATGCAATTTGCCTACCTAGTAGAGATTCGAACCCACAACGACGAGAATAAAATACTCAGTCTGTCAAATATAAATAAAGCTTCCCTGTTACAGGACGGAAAAAGGACTCTAGCAATAAAAGACAGTGACCATATCAGGAATCAGACCCATCATTACAAGAAATGCTCAAAATTCCAAGCTCAAAAGGTTCTAGACACACAACTTGAAATCATACATGTACACTTGGTAAACGACTGAAACAAAAATGAAATGACTAAAAAATAGGAATGCTGCTAACAAGATGTTGCCAAGTGCTGTGTGAAAACTACTCACAAGCGTTTACTGCTTATTATCTTTCTAAATTGCTTATAGAATAAAAGTCTGAAACAAAGTGTAATTTGTCCAAGAAAATAGGCAGTGTTTTACTTCTTTTAGAAACCATTTAGAAAGGATGTAAAAATTTACTTGATCAAGTTGACAAGTCTTTCAAAATTGGCTTTCTAGCATTACATATACATGTGTGTCAGCCAGTCTGAGGACCATAGTGATTTTTTTTTTTTGGATTTTTTTTTGCTTTTGCTGTTCCTTTGCAGTCATATGGTTTTTATCTTAAGTTCTGTATCAGTCTATTTTATGCTATGTTACATGTATGTATAATTTCTTATCTTGTATTGTATTGTTTTTATTCGCTATACATGTATTACATGATCTTGTATTGTATTGTTTTGATTCACTATATAAAATGATAAAAAAATAATAATAATAACACAATGCCTGGTTACAGGGTGCTGAAATTGTGATTTTGCAAATAAATTGGCAATAGGATATTGAAATGAATTAGATGCACCTTCTCAGAAATAAAGTTGAAGCAAGAAAGATATTTTGAAAATATTCCGGTATTTTAGATTTGGTTGTTTAAAAATCCCTTGGCTAAAAATGTTCCCTGTTTCATGACCTTTCCACATTTTAATTTTTTGATTTTGTAACTCTTTGGAGTTTTATACAAATAATAAAAAAAAGACTTCAGGAAAACTGCAGCTCCCCTAGGCTGATATCCGACATATTAACAACTTGTACAATTGCAAAATGTATAGAATCCTTAAATAAAGGAATAAATGTGTGATTGGAAGGTATTAAACACTCTGTTTAAGACCGGTTGAAGTCTGGATGCTGATAGATAACCAAGCTGAATAATTACCCTTTCGGTAAAAAAAAATCTAAACTTTTCGGTCCACAAGAGTAAAAAAAAAAAAGGCAAAAATTACAAATTGCAATGATTTCGTTCAACAAAACACCACACAATGCTAAGGCCCTCTGGTAAACAACAAGTTATATGGAATGCTGTGTGATGTCGTGCAGAATGCAAATGTACGGGTGTAGTGTGAATTTAGGACTATGATGTACTTACTCAATGGTAGCATTGTGCATGCCTGCGTGAGGATTGTGAAGGTTCAACCAATAAAACCATGCCGGCACCAGATTTCATACATGTACCTTTTAAGAAGCAACAGTAATTACTGACTGGCAATAAAAAAAAATGGACACCATGCAATTTGCCTACCTAGTAGAGATTCGAACCCACAACGACGAGAATAAAATACTCAGTCTGTCAAATATAAATAAAGCTTCCCTGTTACAGGACGGAAAAAGGACTCTAGCAATAAAAGACAGTGACCATATCAGGAATCAGACCCATCATTACAAGAAATGCTCAAAATTCCAAGCTCAAAAGGTTCTAGACACACAACTTGAAATCATACATGTACACTTGGTGAACGACTGAAACAAAACTGAAATGACTAAAAAATAGGAATGACCTTTCCACATTTTAATTTTTTGATTTTGTAACTTACAGCAATTTTAGGGATTCTTTGGAGTTTTATACAAATAATAAAAAAAAGACTTCAGGAAAACTGCAGCTCCCCTAGGCTGATATCTGACATATTACCAACTTGTACAATTGCAAAATGTATAGAATCCTAAAATAAAGGAATAAATGTGTGATTGGAAGGTATTAAAGACTCTGTTTAAGACCGGTTGAAGTCTGGATGCTGATAGATAACCGAGCTGAATAATTACCCTTTCGGTAAAAGAAATCTAAAATTTTTGGTCCACAAGAGTAAAAAAAAAAGGCAAAAATTACAAATTGCAATGATTTTGTTCAACAAAACACCACACAATGCTAAGGCCCTCTGGTAAACAACAACTTATATGGAACACTGCGTGATGTCGTGCAGAATGCAAATGTACATGTACGGGTGTAGTGTGAATTTAGGACTATGATGTACTGACTCACTGGTAGCATTGTGCATGCCTGCGTGAGGATTGTGAAGGTTCAACCAATAAAACCGTGCCGGCACCGGATTTCATACATGAAAGAGTCCAACTCCAAATTTCACATGAAACTGGACAGGTAACAGTCGCTTGTTACATTCACCAAAAACAAATATCTACATATTGCTCTACAAGGATATTACAAGTTGAGGTGCAGTCATTTCACCACTGGACATCAGTGGCATGAGATGTGAGAGATGGTGGTGTCTAAACGGTTCATCTTTGGCTTGATAAGCCTTCATCTGATGATGGGGTGCACTGGTGGTAACGAGATGTGTAAGGCCTCCATTGGGCATGGATGGGCATGTCCTCCCACTTGGTACCAGTGGGGACGCAAATGCTACAAAGCCATCACTGAGCACCTGACATGGTCTGAGGCAAAAGATGAGTGCATCAAGATGGGAAGTGTCTTGGTCATGCCACAGTCTCAGGAGGAAACTGAGTTCCTGGTCCAGCTACAGCAATCCAACTTTTGGATAAACTGCAATGATCTCCAGGAAGAAGGTTGGTTGAAATTTCGAATTTACAAAATGTCATCAAATTTCAGAACATTGTGAGCTTGTTTGTTTTGAAGAATCATACCGGTACTTGGCAATTCCCACCTCTGTATTGATTTCCGTTCTGTTTTTTTTGTTGCAATAGGTACTTGGAAGTGTGAGAATGATGAGGTTGAGTTCAGGGATTGGTCGACTGGTCCACAGTGGCTGCAACCTGATAACTTGTATGATGAGGAGCACTGTGCTGAGATGTGGGTAGATCAAGAAGGGAAATGGAATGATGTGCCGTGTGATGCTCAACGCCCTGCAATATGTATCCAACCTGCACCACAGCTGCACTTTTAAACAGCAACAGTGATTACTGACTGGCAAAACAGAACTGGACACCATGCAATTTGCCTACCTAGTACAGATTCGAACCTGCGACGATGAGAGCAAAATACTCAATCTGTCACGCAAATATAGCTTCCCTGTTCAAGACATGGGACAAAAAAAGGACTCTATATACATAAAAGACACTGACCATTACAGAAATCGAACTCATCACCACAAGAATGCATGCTGAAAGTGACAACACTCTACCAAAACATTCCAAGCTCAAAAGGTTCAAGGCACAGAGTAGAAGATAGTTATACATGTAACCTTGGTTTAAACAACCACATGAAATTTAAATGAAAAAAAACAAAAACAGGAATTCTGGTAAAAACAAATTTGCATAGTGAAACCAAGTGCTTTATGTGAAAATACCAACAAGAATTCAGCTTATATACATTTTTTAAAAAATAACTTAATATAATTTAATTTGTCCAAGAAAGTAGGCACTGTTTTAACTCCAGCACTATCATTCACAAAGGATGTCAAAGTCTACTTGATAAAGTTGACGATTCTTTCAAAATTGGTGTAGCATTACATGTGTGTCAGCAGGTCTGAGGACCAGTGACTTTTGTTGGCTTTTGCTGGCCCTTCCCATGTGGTCATATGGTTGTGCCTTATTTGTTCTGTGCTAGTCTATTTTATGTTATGTTATAATTTCTTATCTTGTATTGTTTTGTTTTTAATCACTATATAAAATGATAATATTCATTTATAACAACATAATGCTTGAATAAAAGATGCTGAAATTGTGATGTGGCAAATAAATTGGCAATTGGATATTGTAATAATTTAGATGAACCCTTTCAGAAATAAAGTCGAAGCAAGGAAGATCTTTTGAAATGTCTTTTACATTTGGCTAAATCAGACCTACATACATGTATAAAATCCCTTGGCTATTAAAAATGGATTCTTTGGAGTAGGATAAAATTTGATAAAAAAAAATATAAAAAAGATTTCAGGGAAACTGGAGCTCCCCTAAGCTGATATCCAGGCATTTTTGGAAAGTGGCACACTCCCCCACCATTAATAATAATAATAATAATAACCGTATTTATATAGCGCCTTTTGCCAGAGGATACAATGCGCTTGGGAAGAATGCAACCAAAGTCAGGTAAATGAAGCATATGACCATATGAGACCCATTATGTAGCACCTTTTTGCTAGGTGCTGTGGTGCATAATTGCTGCCACTGCCAGAAACACCAGGGCAAACCCCTCCTCTTAGCGACAAGTGTTACTGGGTTCTTTAACATGCATTACACAACACACGGGACCTATGGCTTTACGTCCCATCCGAAGGACAAAGCATGTTCAGGGTGATAAAATGTTCAGGGTGATAAGTGTCAGTTATCATGGTTATGAGAGTGTTCTGATGTGATTTTTGATCTGTGAATAGTTTTCGTTTTGCTGAAATATTACTTATCTTTATTGTGATCTGAGGACAAGGTAAAAAAAAACGGTGTTTGTGTTAAAAATTCCATAACTGGAAAAGCAAATGAGCGATTTGACTGATTCTTTCACTAAAAGAAAGCTTATTAATTGGGCTTTCATATCCTAGATCTGGAAAGCACTACATGCAGAACTTCTTTAAAAAATAGGGAGCACCATTTGGATTTCCTTTTTTTGTACTCATGTGCACCCTATACAGCATCCTTTTAACGTTTTTTGTTATAAAAGACACAATATTATTACATCTCAGAGTTACCGACACTGCACAAATTGCCGTCTCACTTGATAATGTACCACAGTTGTAGAAATTTGGAATGGAGATTTCATCAAATTTCACTTTTAGCATCTAGGGATCTTACATACCCGGCCAGGAACATGGTGTTTGTGCCCTTGGGCAAGACACGTAACTACAATTGCCTCTCTCCACCCAGGAGTATAAATGGGTACCTGTGAGGGTCGAGGACCGATTGAGCGCTGAGATCGGCTGCCACGTGGTCCCATGGCCTGATGAACGGGGTAATAAGGCCAAAAAAAAAAATAGTTCTGCTTCCGATTACATGCCTTTCAAAAATAGGGTCGGTCGGTCGGAAATTTTTTATTTTGGGCCAATTTTTTTATGCAGATTGAATGGGGTATTCAATATTATATGCCTGAACTATTTCTATTGCACTACGAAAGCTATACACGAAATGGCAACAAAAAGTGAGTAAAACCTACCTTTAATTATTGTCAATATATTTACGTTCGATAATTTCAAAAAATAATGGAAAATTCAGGCCGTTCGCACCATATGCACAACGCTAGTCAAGACGCGGGGAGCTGGCCAAAACTCCGAGGTGTGTGATGTGTGCGTGTGTGGCGAGCGGCCCACCATGGGCCGACAGACCTGTTTTTACGGTCAACAATTTCGGGAAACACGCGGCATGTATCACTCCAAATACGAGTAGTGCGATCTCAAAATGAACTCTTGAACACAGAAAATACATACACAGACAAGCTAGATCAATTCTGTAAATTAACTTGCAAAAATGTTCTTTCTCCATCGGTGTTTTCTTGGCATTTTTACGATGTCGAATCCGACCAGTTGACAGTGGCCTGCACTGTACTGATAGCGCGCTATCGGTCGCATAGCTAGCTATGGACTGGTTACCGCATTTTCATTATGTCTTCTAAATTGGCCCCTGCGCGGCACGGCGGGAACCAGTCGCCACGTGATTATAGTCACCGTGCGTGACATCGAATTGCGAAGTAGTTATATCGCGAAGCGAATTTGTAATAACGGAGGTTTCTTTTGAAAAAAAAGCGAATGTAAGTAAGAAAACAAATAAATACAAGCATTTTTGGATGCAAAAGGGTTGTTGAGAGGTATTTTTTGAAGACAGAAAAGACAAATTTTATTTTTATTTATTCAATTTTTTTATTTTTTTATATTTTTTTTTGGAATTGCCGATAATTTTTTTAGGGTTGCAGCCTAAAAATAGGGTCGGTCGGGTAACCGGAAGCAGAACTATTCTTTTTTTTGGCCTAATTGTAAAGCGCTTTGAGATCGTTGATACGATGGAAAGCGCTATATAAGCACAATTATTATTATACAGCGCAGCCTACTTGTTCAAAATTGCCAAATGATCATCTGCCTTGAATTTGTATTTATCGATTACATCTATTCACCAAGGTAACATTATAGGAAATGTAAACTTAATGCTGTCTAAGAGCTTAGGAAACACAAAGTTTGTTTATATTGGACACAAACCCTTCAATATGTGCTCCATGTGCTCTTTAACCTATTTCATTTTTTCTGTTAACGAACTCCCAATTTGTATGTTTTACATTTGTATTTTTATAAACGGATAAAATTACCTTTCCTCTATTTTCGCCATTTACAACACTCTGAAATACACTTGTATTTTGGTTTGCTTTTGCGACCATAATGCACAAAGAGATACTAACGAATTTTTCTCAGGCCGCAAAAACTGTGTAAAGTAATTATTGCATAACTACTCCTGGGCAGATTTTTCTTGTACGATATCTCATTTAAACCTGAATAATTTTTGCATTGCTAGAACAACAGCAATTTAAAAACAACATCTATTTGTCAGGCTGAACTTGAGAAAGAACAGGCAGGGGAGAGCAAGTTTAAAGACAAATGTAATACACCAAATATGTAAACATCAAAAGACAAAACGACAACATTGTCATGAAATAACGGTACCTTACTGGACTGTAAGTCAGACCTGCTAACCTCCGGGGATCGAAAAACTGTATTCTGAATCTCCAAAAGTTGTATTTTTCTTTAAAAAAACTGTATTTTTCAAAAATATGCAAATATACGAGCTATACAAACATATAGATGTGGCTGCAATGCTCCAACTTCAATACATCTTTGTTGAGTTACAAATAAAATGACCAGAGGTCTCCCTGTGGGTGGTAAACCCAATCAAACAATTTGCATGAATAAGGATACTGATCATATACCTTTTTCATAAACAAACTGCTTTAAAAACTATTAAACTTAAACTTAAACTTAAACTAAAGACTGGACTTAACCCTAATGTTTGAAATAAATAATATTATTATGCAAGTGAAACGTTCATAGGACTTCCAAGTATAATCTAAACTTATTCATGTTTTATCACGTCGCCGCCAAGACAAGTGCCAGTTTCAATCACACGCATGACCGTACTGAATGTTAAAAAAAAAACCACATCAAAAAGAACTTGGCCTAAAAAGACAAAGATTTCTTGCATTTGCTGGCTGATTAAATTGCTCTTTGCGCGGCATTGTTGATTTATCCGATTTTTATTTTCGTTTCAGAACGTTTTATAAAGTTACTAAACATGCTCAACAAAAATGTTTGACAACGAAACACTGCGTACACATGTGTTGTGACTATTTCGTGCGTGCACTTAGAAATAGAAAGTTGATTGACTGCACGTACGATCTGCCGTACGTACTCCTGCTGGTACGTGTTGTTTACTAATACAGACATTTATTTATGCGGTGGGGTGCCGCTGCTTGAAGTATCGGCACACTCCGGGAATGGACTGGTTCTAGTTTGTGATACCGTGTACATACATGTATGTACATCGTACAGTGGGAATCGCAAATACAGATTCAGTTCATGCAGTACATCGTTTACTTGGCTTCATGCATATTTGTGTGCATTGATTCAGCAGATTTTATGTAAAAGCAAAACCAAATGTTGTACATGTTACCCTTTAACCCCTTGCTTATGCCAACAAAAGTATACCTTTCTTAACCAGTTCAAGTAGGATGACGTGTATGACGCAAAGGTTTTGCGGTATTCGGAACAGATGACGGATAAACATGCAACAAGCGAGGCTGGAAATATCTGTCTGCGACCCGCTCGCAGCGAGCAAAGCCGGAAATGTCGGGGTTTGCTACCCACAGATGACGGCCTGAACCCGTCTGGCATTGAGGTTCGTGAAAACAATCCTGCGCCTAGGTCCGGTCAATGTCAAAATAATCCCGGCGCGAAGTGGTTAAAGGTATGTCTGTGAAGGGAAACCTATTACAATATCTACATCTCCCCTGCACATACTCCATGGATGACCATATTTTCGTGTATGTGAATGCACTTGTGCAGACCAATGTTGATTTAGCTTTTTGCTCTTGTACAAAGTGTGTCAAGAGCATGATCAAATGGTTTACTGTCTGGAATACAGAGATGAGCTCAATATACTAACTGATGATCTTCATTTTCTAATTACATCAAATTGAAAAAATGGGATGGTGGCAAAAGTATGTGGCAAGCAGCAAAACATTAACAGGCACAGCAGCTAAAACAACATATTTTTTTATCTGTGACTTGAAAAAAAAATGTGAAATAATAGATCATATAGAAGCTTGAATGAATGAAGAACTGTGAATGATCTGGATGTGAAAACTAGCATTGGGGTCTAAACACTACGTGTCTCTCTTTATGTTATTAGAGTAACTTGCCATTCTGCGGTTCGGTCTCACTGATCTGTTGCTCAAATGAGAGCAAACGCTCTTCAAATGAACTAGACAGTTCTTCTGAAGCAGAGGGAAAAAAGCAGGGTTATAGTCGAGGCCTTTGCCAAGTTTCTATTTCAGTTATTATTAATATTATTTCTGTGGGAAACCCACAGAAAACTTAGTCCGAGTATCAACCGTTGTCCACGGAGCCTGTCTCCAGTCCAACGTCCGATATATCTAAGAATGCAAATTTACTAAATTGTGACGTCATTTCATTCCGAAATCTGGACAAAGTTTTTGATGGATCAATTCGGATGCAGTGTTTTTGTAATACAACAATGGCCGGCCATAGGATCTACAAAACCTAGACACGACATGGGCACCAAGCTTGGCGCATCGCGTAACATAATACAGAGCGCGTGACCGCAACGTAAAAAAAAATAATAGACGTTGTGTCTAGGTTTTATTTATAGATGTCCATGACGCGACAACGATATATAGAAAGCGCCCGCTGAATGGTCAGAATGTCGAGGTCAAAACACAGGGTTTTTTTTGCATAATTAATCACCAAATTCGCTCACATTCGCAAGGGAACCCACTTCTGAAATCTAAATTTGATGTCTTTGCCTTTTCTCCACAGGCTTCAGGCTTGGGGAAAACTTGGTTCAGTACTGTAAATGTAAGTTATGGGGTGGCATGGGTGGGTAGTACGTAAAGCGCTTTCGTCTCGCCACTGTGGCCCTGGTTCGTTCCCGGCTAGGACCCTATGTGAGTGGAATTGTGCGTTGGTTCTCTCCTGTGCAACGAGGGTGTTTCTCCGGGCCCTTCCAGTTTTCCTCCCTCCGAAGAAATCAAACACTTTTGATCTCTGGCTGTGCTCCGTGGTCAGATAGGTCGTATGGCCGCTGCCAAATGCGCTTTTACATGCCTGCGGCTCGACCACGTTGTGGTGGCATCCTTCTCAGCCGAGAGTAAGGATGATTAGCCCCCCAAATTATTAGAATGATTGTTATGATCACATAAAAATTGCTCTTACCTTTGATTTCGTTCTCACTCTCTAGGACCAAGAGGAAAGCATCTGGGGACAATGCCTGGCCGGCTTTGACCAGGAGGGATCTCTTCATCCTAACGGTGCCCGACTCTGCACTCTTCCTGGCCTGGGAGGAGAATACAATTGATTGATAGGTTATGAGACAAGAGTCTCAAGCATGAAGACAAAATAAGAAACTCATGCTGTCTCAAACAGGTGTAAAGATGTCAGTTATCCGTTATGCTGATCTTTGTATGGACGAATTTACTGGATAATCAAGCACGTTACCATCAAGGGCCCAGTTATTCGCCGGGCTGGAGTTTCTGGTAAACCGGCACCAAACTGAAGGTGTGGGAAAAAGGAATGCCCCACGGATCACCGAGGGAGGCTAGTTTTAAGCCGTGTCCGCACTGGACTTTTTTTTTTAAGGTTTTACCGAGACGATGGTAACACGAAAAATGGTCAAATGTGACCACTATCCGCACTTGGACTTTCGACACAGGAAATTTTACCCAGACCGCGTGGTAGAAGTGACCGAGCTGTCAATACTATAATGACTCACGCAGGAAATAAAATGCCGATCACATTTTTTCAGCCCCCGATATGCACAGTATAATATTACACATGCCATTAAAATGCACAATATAAATCATTACATACGATATTATTTCATCTTGACACGATAAATCTTGATGAAAATGCCTATATTTCTGACGCATTTGGACGACATCGAAGCCATGGACTCAGGAAAAGTAACTGAGAGGAAAACGTTCTAGGCTGTCCGCAGTGGACTTAATATGGGAAAAGTACCCATAGTCTCGGTAAGTTTTACCAAAAACGTTCAGTGCGGACAGGGCTTACATGTTACTGTACCTCGAGTTTAAGGTACATAGCATTATTTGCTCTTGGTGGACTTTTTTTTATGTGAAGCAACAAAATTGCTCAAACTCTTAACCCCAAAAAACACCTCTTTTTATTGTTTTCTTTTGCTCGAAACCATTTCAGGCAGAATACTTTGACAGGATATTTTGGATCAACCCTATCTTCACTTTGAGCAAGGTTTTGCTCACTCAATCAGGCGGTACATATCCGGGTCATTACCACTGTTCCTATGTGCCTTTTAACCAGTTCGCGCCGGGATTACTTTGACAAGAACAGAATGAGACGCGGGATTATTTTTCACTCGACCTCAAACCAGGGCGGGTTGAAGCCATCACCCTCGGGCAGCACACTGTGCATATTTCTGGCCTCACTCACTGCGAGTGGGTCGCTGCAGGATATTTTTGGCCTCGCTCCCTGCGTATTTACTTGTCATCCGTTCCGAGTAACCGTACAACTTTTGCGGGAATACACGTCACTCGGCGCGAACTGGTTAATATCACCTCCTCTATAGATTGTGCTGAGTTTATCTACCTGTTCTATGATCATTGCTGCTTGGTCTTCCATGCTGTCAGGTGGTTTGTACAGCTCTGCTCTCAGCTTCAATCGGTGGAGAGCAGTCTCTAGACGTTCATGGTACTGCCCACCGTCATCCAGACTCAGAGCCTAAAAATGCAACAAACAGTGTTGAAATTATCCCGGATACTCTAAACTTCGAACTTTAAACTGCAAACTCTATGCATCAAATTAGGTTTTGCCCTTCACCGACGTTTAAACACTGTATACTCAGTGTGTTACCTCCCAAGTGAAAGTTGGAAAAATCACTCGGGTGGGACGCGAACCCACGAGTCCCACCCACAACACACTGAGTATACAGTGTTTAAACATCGGTGAAGGGCAAAACCTAATTTGATTTAAATTACCACACCAAACCTGGGCACAATTTCATAGCGCTGCTTAACAGTTAGCAGCAAAGTTGTGCTTATACTACAGCTGAAAACCATGCTGCTGCTTACCCACTATTCCATGACGTGGATGTAAAAACAATTGTGCGCGCATGGAGATTTCTATTGTTACATCACTAATTCAAGCGTCTTTTTCCTTTAAGGTTAAGCGTGCCTTTGCTACAGTCTCTATGAAATAGACGGAGGCTCTGTTAGTACACAATTGGCTGAAATTGGGCCCTGATTAAAAGCCATTTCATACTAATGAGAGTGAAAAGCAAAACAATGGCAATGTGTACACATTTTTCACAAATTGACAAGCAACATGTTGCTATTAGTGTGCATGTGTAGGTTACGTCAGGAATCACCCACTCGTCCGTTAAAGGTGATATACAACATTTGCTTTTGCTGTAAATTCAGAAATGGGTGGATTTGGGGGATAGTTTTTCATAACAAATACTGAAACACTGACCTAGCTGTTTAAAATTGTGTTTAAAGTTTTCACAGATGCTGGAAAAACCAAGAAAAAATGCTGTTCTTGTAGTCTGGTTCCCTGACCCTACGAAACGGAGCAATTTATAGACGTCAGGCAATTGTCAGGTTGGGGAACTAGACTAGCTGGCTTGCACTCCTTCATGGATGTGTAACAGATTGCAAACAAAATGTTGACTAACTAAATTTGGTATTATTGAGACTATTATTCTCTAACATTAAAGTAAGGCATTTCAAAATAATTTGGTAGTTTTGTTTTTTGATGTTGGCAAATGTTGTATATTGTTGTCGATAAAACCTGCTCATGAATCAGAAAATCCTGTTTTCAGTCTTTCCCGTCAGTGAGTTTCCCTACCTTTTTGAGGTGTTCCATCGCCACTTGTATCTGTTCCTCATCTTCCTCACATTTAGCCAACTCGGTGTGGATTTGACAGCGGAGCAACACTAACAAACTGCAATTCCATAAAATAATCATTCCTTCATGAAAAAGTTGCTAAAAACAATTCAAATTTGTTAATCGTAAACAAAATGTGCACGTACCATTGAAGGGCAAGGATTGACAGATTCCACCTCCCCCCCCCCCCCCCCCCCACCTTTCCTCCTTCTATTAAAGCTTAACCAGTTCGCGCCGGATCTGTTTTTGCCTAAAATTTCTATTATTGAAAAAGGCAAGATATTGCAGCCAATTTTATAAAGCCAAACGCCACAAATACTGATTCGCAAGAGTCATTTCAACAGCATTTGTATGATGTTTCTTACCCAAGCTCATATTTTTTAAAACACTCCGGGATGTGCACACGGAGCATAAATTGTACCACAACTGTCCGTGCACTTTGAATGTGTGTACAAAACAAATAAGGGATTAGTGTGTTGAGACTTCATCCGGAGGCGAGTCGCGGCACGCTTGACGTTTTAACCCGTCAGCTGTGCCTGTGTATAGTTCGTGTTAACACGTCATCCGACGCAAAGTTGTTAATAAATGCAATGTCCTAGTAGAACATCACTGCTTAGTTCACATGCAAAGTTTAAGCGCGATCAACCAAGAACGTTTTTGTAATTTCTGTCCATCACTTTTCATACTTACAAACATGCAAGTGTATTTCCCTACACTTGGTCAATGAAAAACACAAGATTATTTCCGTTTCCTGCATTGAAAATTTGACATCTTGTGCTATTGCTACCGGTACCTTCAATTTTCATGACAATGTAGGCGAAATTTCAGTACGACAAAAGCTTGAAAAATGATCAGAATGAAAAGATCCTGTGACCACGAAGTTGGAGAAAATATAATTGGTGGAGCCCCAACCTCGTACCCATGGTTTCGAGCAGTGCACTACCACGAGCTGCTCTCTCACCAGTGCTTGATCATTATATACATGTAGCAAGTTCAAAAATCTTGCACATTATAATAACTGGTAGGTACAGAATAGTGTGGTGCCTGCATTAACTCATTTTAAAAAAAATTATGCAATGTCCAGAGCACAAGGGGTCTTGCAGGAGAAAGATATTAGGTTATAATTTTACCCATCCAACATGCAGTATTACTATAAAAGTAACTATTATTAAGGGAATAAATGTGTGCTCTGGAGGTTTTTATCACTCTGTTTAAGACCACTTAGAGTCTGGGTGCTGATAATTACCCGAGCCGGAGGCGAGGGTAATTATCAGCACCCAGACTCTAAGTGGTCTTAAACAGAGTGATAAATACCGACGGAGCACATATTTATTCCCATTCATAAATACCTTTTCGGTAAGAAAAAATCATATAATTCGTTCAAAACATCCCGATTTTGTTCAACAAATTCACTTTATGCTTTTTGAAACATTCCTCTTGCAAAATAATGGAGTGTTCAGCTGGCGAGTAAGATGTAAACAACCCTTTTATGGAGATTGACGCGCGCGTAGCATGTTCTGCGCGATGTCGCGCAGAACGCACCTGGGGCGTTGCTTTTTGAATTTAGAACTATAAAATTCTGACTCCCTGGTAGTGTTGCGCATGCCTACGTGAGGATTGTGAACGTTCAACCAATGAAACGATAAGAGGCACTGGATTTTTAGGAGTCCACATTTTATTGTGACACTGGAAAAGTGTTTAAGACCAGCTAGCCATGTCTTTATCATCCGTTTAAGACCGGCCACGTGACGGGCTCTCGACCAATAGGAATAGCTAAACTGTCTGAGGTATTTATGAATATGTTCTTAAGGCGGGTTGGATCATATTAATTCACAGAAAGTGTTAAAAACGTGTAATAAAAAAATTAAATAAAGAAGTACGCAATATAAATCCATTACAGTGGAACGCCACTATATCAAACACCATTATACCGAACATTTGGCTATACCAAACATCATCCTAGGCTCCCGGTTTTTATGTACAAAACGTACCGAACATTGTTGTTAGAAAACGTCAACAAATTAACAAAAAAATCTACCGGTTATATTCAATGCTATTTGGGCCAGTTTTTTTTAATCCCGAACATCAAACGACCCATGGTTACATCGTGTTTGAATGTTGAAGAGTGATAGGTGGCTAGTATTTTTCAAAGGAACAGAACGGAAAAGCCACCCATTAAGAAACATTTTTTGCATATCAAAATGGCAAAAAGGGGGCATAAAAACACACTAATCAAATCCAGTCAAAAGAAGGTGCACTTTAAGTAGGGCACAAGGGGGCGCTATTCAAATGGACAGATGCCATTTTATGTACTGGCGTCTCAAAATGCTATACCGAACGATCGCTATCTCAAACATTTTCTGTGGTTCCCACGATGTTTGTTATAGCGACGTTCCACTGTACATGCTATTGCAGGACCGAATCAGAATACAGAAAGTGATTTTTCCCTTCCAGGGTCTACAATTATTTTGAGGGTTGAAAGTAGACACTGGGTATGAGGTTGAGGTGCCCTTTTCTTTGACCTAACCACACATTACCTTTGGATGTTTTCCAAGGCTTCTGCTACCACAGTCAGGGGCTTACGACAGTGCTCCCTCAGGTTGGTCTGAAGTAATGGTAGACAGAGATTCCATTGGGTCACGCAGCCAGCTTGGATAATATTTGGGTCTCCGTAGCGGACCGCGTTCATCAGAGCTTCAGTCAAGCGGTTAATGGCTTGGATGCGGACCTACAGTGAAAGAAGGATTTATATCATAGGGCTAGGTCTGTTACGATTATTCAGTTATTTGATGAATTGATCGATTGGTTATTCGGTTACTTATTGCAGAACTTCAATTGACCCCAACCCTGCGAGACGCAACACAGTACATCAGGTGTAAGGGTCTGAGACCTTGCTGCATTGAGCCATCCACACCAGTGCATAAAGGGCCAATTCTGAAACTATGAGAGCTAGTCCCAATGAACAGTGCCACAGTTGTGTGCTGCAGTTGGGGACTGCATATTCTGAGGCAGTTTGACACTGACATTTCTGACCTGATGGATCATGCTACACTGGTATGGCCTCACAACACTGGAGCTGTGCATATGAACCAGGTAACCCAGTACCCAACCAGGAACCGGTTCCAGATTATGGAATTGAGTACCTGTAACTAACTTTACATAATTTATTACTTTGTAGTACAGGGGGAGTGTGTGGCCAAGTGGTTAGGGTTCGTGACTCATGATCAGAGGGTCCGGGGTTCGAATCCAGCCGCTGGTCATATATTGTGTCCTTGGGCAAGGCACTTCACCCCCACTTGCCCCTCTCCACCCAGGAGTATAAATGGGTACCGGCATTAGCTGGGGAGTAACCTGCGATTGACTAGCATCCCATCCAGGGGGAGTAGAAATATTCTCAGTCGTTTCATGTTACTGAAACCGGAGATAAACGCCGGCCTGATGAGCCACATTGGCTCGGGACAGACTTTACTTAGTACAGGTTTTGATGGTCATTTGTGGAGATTTTCAAAATAAAAAACAGGCAACGTGGAAAAACAAAGCAGATTGATGATTATGACACTTGCCAAAATGCAATTTACACCGAAAAGCTTCATATTGAGATCACTGTTACACACTTGCAACTTCCAGTATTATCGTGCACATCTTTAAGAACAATTTGTACAGCGACTGACGAGAATTGAATTTGGGTTTGTGTTTTTTTAACGGGTACCCGTGTTTCTTTCAATCAGGTACCCGATTCCTGTACTACCGTACCTGTAGATACAAACCCCTAATAGGTCTCTCTCTCAATTGACGTCACTTCCTACAGATTGTCATGTGCATCGGCATTAAGCTGCGCCGTATTTCAAAGAAATTTTGAGCAACATGCGCGTACTTTTAGAACATTTTGCATACTGCACGCACACGCACCTGATGGCATTGAACATGCAGTTTTTCCTACAAAGATGGCTATCTATGAAAGGGGTCTATTGTGACTCCTGCAGGAATTTCAAAAATGATTACACAAAAAAGCTGCAATCTAAACCTAGACAAAAACATTCTTTAGAACGTGTTAGCTCCAGTATCCAATATTTTTACTTTTATTATTACCAACTTGAATTTCATACCTCAACAGACATTTTACTGTAGGATTCCTGCCTCTCCCTTAACTTCAGCACCATCAGAGAACACTCAATGAACTCCATTTGAATGAACATTCCCTTGTCCTGTGCAGTGAAAGAAAATGCATCAGTCATTTACTTCTCTAATTAAGGGTGCATGGATCATTTGCTCTTGATTCATTTTTCCATCTGAAGCAAAAGAGTTGCTTAAATTCTCAACCTTGAGAACTCTTTACATCGGCGGCTTTTATACATTTTGAGAATACAGAGCAAATGCACAATTTTTGGGGTCCCATAACTGGATTCTGTTGCCGACGCACGTCAAAATGTTTGCTTACAGTCAAACTATTTTCAAACCACATTCAATGTTGATTTTCTTCCAAAGGATACCTAGCCCGAGTTTCACCCGTTGTTCAACAGAGCCATCTACAATGAAAATATACGTCTACAATGCAAACTTATGCGAGCGCCGTGCGCTAGCCAATCAGAGTTGACTTTAAAAAAATTGTGACGTCATTTCATGCAGAAATGTGAACTAAGTTGTTGATTGGTCAAATTTCTGCCATGTTTTTGTTGATACAACCGGTTGCCAAAGACCCGATAGAAGGCGCCCGCTGAATGGTCAGAATCTGGAGGTCAGGTCGAAGTCTTGTTTTGCATTTATATTTAAATAATGAAAGGTTTGCGGAAACACCATGTGCGAATAATTACTCAACTAAGAGAATGATTCTGAAAAGAACCAGAAGTATAAACTCGACGTTCCGGTCAGTATGCTCTGACCGTCTTCAGGAGAGTGCCTAAACTCTCCTGAAGACGATCACAGAGTTTAGGCACTCTCCTGAAGACGGTCAGAGCATACTGACCGGAACGTGGAGTTTATACCTCTGGTTCTTTTCAGAACCATTCTCTTAGTTGAGTAATTATTTGCACATGGTGTTTCCGCAAACCTTTCATTATTTAGTATCTCCACCACGCAAAGCCTCAAATCTTACTCATTTATAATTAATCGCAGAATCTGCATGGATATCATTGACGCTTGCTTCGCAAGTGGCTCTTCCACAGACTAAAAGATACCATTTCAGGTGGAAGATTTGCCGGGTTTTTGATACCAGTCCTATCTTCACTTTGAGCAAGGTTCCTGTCATTAAATCTGTAGGAACTTTTCTAGGTAATTGCAAATGATCCTACATATGGCTTTAATGTTACAAGAAGACTCCTAGATGCTGTTATACCTTGATGTGGGTGTTTTTCATTCCGTCCAGACATCGTGCCACAAGGTCCGGTTGGTCATACTCGATGCACAGATTAGCCAGTTCTAGAAGAAGAGGAGCTCTACACAAGACAAAAATAATCAGCATAAAGTTGGAAAAAAATAAAACAGTATTAAAAAATTCTGAAAATAAGAATCAATCCAACAATTGTGATGTGATCAAGCTAAATAAGTCATTTGTCGGGAATTTTTATTTGGAGAAACAGGCCAAAATAGGGCCACTTCATCACATCACTGCATCACATCTCTTGGTGTTCCAACTTCCATAACTTTTTTTAACTAAAGATGGTGTCAGCATGCGGTTTTCACAGCAGTAATGCCGAGATTGTGCTCTTTTCAAATCTGTAATAAAAAAAAATTGGCCAGGGTCGACAAACGACTCATGTAGCTTGATCGCATCACAATTGTTTGCATACTTGTGGGGGAAGAGTAAATCTGAATTTAAAGACGGGAAAACTAGTTTGGGAAAACTACTTTTGACCTTTTTTTTGACGTTCCGTATATGTTTTAGTAATGTACTGGGAGATGGATTTTTCTTTTATGAGCAAAAGACCTTATGTATAGCAGCCACATTAGAGGGCAATGCCTTTGTTTTGGTGGGATATGCATGAGTGAATCTTTAGTGCATTCTTTGTTATTGAATTAAAATAACAAAAGATGCCCTCTAAGATGGCTGCTACGAATACAAAGTAAGGTCTATTGACTTCCAACATTGGTTATGTTTTCAAGAAAGAAACAGGCACATCTTTAAACAACCAAAGATAAACATTATTATTGTTATTATTCTAATGTTACAATTAAGACTGTCAGTTTGTTATGTAATCATTTCTACACAATTAAAAATCCTAATCTGGTACAGTTGTTAATGTACACGTATGAGTATACAGTGAAAAGTTCTACTTGTACAGTACATGTAAGTCACGTTTCTATCAAGTTAATGGACAAGTTAACAGTGTACCAATTCAAAAAGTTAAAGAATAAAAACAGATGGAAACTATAAAACATTGGGTAGTAACTGTTAGTGTCTTTTTAATTCTACAGTTTATTGAAGGGCTTTTGATATTATCTTACTGCAGTAATAATTATCAATTATTCAATTATTCCTTGAAAATAAACTTCTCGTTTATATTCTTTTGCACAGGAAATCAACAGCTTTTATAATTTCTGGAAATAGATTCTTAGCTTTAATCAACTTACATGTAAATGATGTGTTTGACAATATACAAATAATGAATGTTTGTGAGTGCAAAGGTAAGAATAACTTCACAAGGTGACAGAAGAAATGTTCCATTCCACGAGGCGAGGCCGAGTGGAATGGAACATTTCATCTGTCACCGAATGAAATTATTCTTTCTATTGCACGAACGTAAAACATTCATTTTTGTTTTATATAACACCTGAATAAATCCTCGTCATCTGATTGGTTGACTTTTAATAGCCAATTTATTCAAGTAAAAAATTGTTTACAAGTTTGACAAGTTTGACATATTTAATTTATGCAAACTGTTCAACAGGTTGAGAACTATCATATCCAATTTATCTCAATTTAAAACTTTTCCATAAGTTTAGAACTTAAACAGTTCAATAAGTTCAGAACTTTTATTACCAATTTAAACACCACAGCGCCACCTTCGGCAACATGTGCACTGACAGTGCAATGGTACTTCTAATCACAGTGCAATAGTACTTCCATTGCACTGTGCGCTGCGCGCCACGCGCGCACTGTGCATTCAATGACATGTGATAATTCAATGACATGTGATCAACGATCCACCAATCAGATGACGGGGATTTATTCAGGTGTTGTATAATACACAAATAATTGAATGTTTACGAGTGAAATGGAAAGAATAATTTCATGAGGCGACAGACGGAATGTTCCATTCCTGACAAGGCGAAGCCGGGTGGAATGAAACATTCCATTTGTCACCCAATGAAATTTGTTCTTCACATTGCACGAATGTGAGACATTATTTCTTTTATTCAACACCTGAATAAATCCTTGTCATCTGATTGGTCAGAGCCACCAATATGTGACCGTGCAATGGAACTACTATTTGAGATACCATGGAATAAAACTTCCTTATTTTGCATACGTGTGGCCAGGCCGTGCACTGGGACAAATAATTCAATGACACATGATTTTGGTGACACACTGCATTGTCAATCAATACATTTTCCCAATACATGTACTTGAAAAATCATGTCATATGAAACTATATTCCTCGATTTTTGCACACAACAAACAGGTGGACCGTGAAAAATGGTGCAAGTGCATCGATCCTCAACTCAGAAAAAAATTGGATTTGAGAACTTCTGAAAGCAACAATAAGTTATGACAAATGGCATCATTCTGTGTCAAATGTGCGTGCAAAACAAATATGAGCAACTCATGTGTTGCTACAGGGAAGTGAAAAACATAACTGTGCACTGTGCAATATCTGCTCTTGGTAAAACAGATTTGAGTTCATGCAGCAGCCATCTTTGTCTTATACCCAGAGGCCATCGTGACTATTAACATGTATATTTCCGTGGTGGTACCAGCCTACTCTAGGCCACAGTTGGTACATGTAATCCAAATCGCATGCAATGTTTCAGTCTAAAGTGAAAAGAGCTATCCAAGAAAAGTTAAATATTGCAATTGATGACATGTAATCTTTAGCAATTTGCTACAATACTTCACTAATTTGAGGAGTTTTGCATTTAGGAGTCGATTCCAAATTGACTCATAATTCCTTGACGAAAATAGGAGTTGCCATGTGCTGGAGTTGCCAGTGCTGGAGTTACCAGTGCCTACCAAGCTTGTACTTTTTCAAGGAGCGATCCAAGATGGTACCACTGTACCACACATCAGATCTTCTTGTACGTGAGGTATTCTGGTAAAATGAGACGGAACTGGGCAATGGCTATAGTGAGATGCTAAAAACTAAATGGGGGTAATGTTTTTCCTTGATTTTCAGACTTATTGATATTTGTAATCTTCGATATGTCTACTGCACATATTTTCAAGAAATTGTATAAAAATCATGGAATGAAAGTGTTTTTTAACACAGATTGGTATCTTTCATTTTCACGAAAAACAAAACTCAAAATTTTAAAGGGCGATAAAACGTGTCGATAAATGCGAACTTTAAACAGCCATAACTTGTCAATAAAATATCCCACTGAAGTGCAACAAATAGTATTGTAAGGAGCATTTTATTTTCTTTCCTATTGCCAACACACCCTCATTTCGACCTCTGCCCAGTTCTCATTTTGCCATAATGCCTCACATACCGGTATACGTGTACACCGTAGGGCCAAACTCCATTTGTAGAAACATTCCATGAAGGAGAATTTCTTGAAAAAAATGAGTAAAACAAAGATGGCCACTGCATGGATCATTCAGGACTTGGGTATAAAAACTCACTTTTCCCATTTCGAGACAGGGGTGGTTGGGAGGGGTCTCCATTTTGAAACCACTGACCTCCTACCAAATTGACCAATAGGATTGCAGGAGGCAGGTAACCGTGGTAACACAGATGAGAAAAACAGAAAGCAGCCGGGAAAAGGTGCAACAAATGAGTGAATTCAGTAAATCATGCAAAGGAAATGTATAAAATCAATTGCAGAGCTGTGATCAGGCAAGTACATGACAATTTATACTTAAATGAATTACTATTTGACAATGGGACTAAAATGGGGCGAGTTCAAAAGAAACTGACCGAGTTGGGGGAAAAAACTAAAAATATATGGCTCGTTCCATTTAATATAAATCACATAGGAATCAAGTACATGTTATTGACTAGTAACTGTGAACATTTCACTTCATTCGTATACTCAATTCACAAGTGATTTCTATTTTGATAGAAATACCACAAAAATTCAGCTGTCCGACACTGATCATTTAGGCCTACCAATATGCATTGATGAACACCCTTTAAACACAATGAACCATATGGAAGTGTTTCTATTCCTACATGTACCTCTGTGAATGAACGAAAACTTGTGAAGGAAAACAGACAAAAATCACCGTCATCGTTTCAGAAAAAAAAACTTGACTTGTTCATGGTATACAAAACAAAAAGTCTGACAGTAAAAAATAATGTTTAAGTCTGGACTCAACGATTCAAAATTCATTTGTTTTTGGAAAATGACATTAAATAGTTTCTAAGGCAACAATCTCATGCAAAAGAAAATCAGGATTAAATATAGAGTATATATTACTTGTTATAAATGTGCAATTTTTTTGTATTTGAAGTAACAAAGGTGCTCAAAATCTAAAGCAGGGTGCTTAACAACTAACCTGATGAAGTTTTAGCTCAGTAAATGCTGTACATTTTGAGAAACAACAATATTCTAGGATCTCTGTTTCAATTGAAAAGTTGCCGAGTCATGTTTCGTATTGTGCCCAAAATCAGCATCCGGGACACGTTCTCAATTCAGACGATTGCAGCTACGCGATGTCACGCACTGTACCGACAAAATAAAGCTACCACGTGCATTGTGTCAACACTTGCACCCATACACGGCTTCGCTGAATAAATACATTGAACTACTAATGGAAATTTACAAAAATGCGTCTTTATAAACGCATCGTTGGAAATGGCCTTCGTTTATTGTTTTCTTCAAATTGACAGCATGCCAGGAAGAATAATTTCACAGGGAGCTTTATACCATTACTATCTTTAAACCATGTATGCTTTTTCAACAACAAAAATTGGCAGACCCTTGTTTTTGAAAGCTTCAAATGATAAACTCTGCCTTTAAGCATTCAACGGTTTTAGCAGTGGAATTTTTTTTGGGGGGGGGGGGTGTTAAATAAAAACCTCTGAGTATATGCACTCAGTATACAGGTGCATGCACTTTTCCCGACTTAATTTTCTCGTTCCTGTATAAGCAATTATAAAACCATTATCCACTAATCAAATTATTGGTTGATGAAATTGTGAACCTATTAAACCATTATCGGTTCTTGGCCAGGAATAAATCGTTTTGAAGATGTGAGATTTAACACCTTTATTTAATTTGTGGCGCAGAGTTGAGGGAACCAATTTTGTTGAGCAAATTTTCTCAGGTGAAGTGTTAAAGAGCTTTTAGTAAAATGTACGTCAGGCTTTCTTAATTTCCTCTGAAACGGGAAGATGACCCAGCATAGTAATTATATTAACCTGATTTCTTTTGGTTGATTTTTTTCTCTTTTATGGTGGCTCTTTTTTTAACATCCATGTGGACTTCAAATCTTATCTGATTGGATTCCACCAAATTGGAAAATTGCGACCTAGTGCCAGTGGAAATACCGGTACGGCAATAATCCCTGAGGATGTCTAGGCAAGCAGCGTCTAGAAAGTTAGGGGTAAAACTAAGCTGTGACCAAATTTTCAGACACTCTGATGCTCAAATTATAAAAGCAATGATTCCAACTTAGTGAAATTATTCAATAATGCTAGAGTTAAAAGTAGGGGCAATGTTGGAACAACATCATTTTGTTTATATATGTTTTTGCTGATCACCATTCTTTACCAAGAATAAAAATATGCGGAATCAAGTATCTACATTGTATAGTCTAAAAACTAATTATTCCCCACTTTTCACATACATGTAGTTTGCAGGGGAGTGAGGCCCAGTGGTTAGGATTCATGACTCATAATCAGAGGGACAGGGGTTCGAATCCAGCTGCTGGCCATATGTTGTGTCCTTGGGCAAGCCACCTTGCCCCTCTCCACCCAGGAGTATCAATGGGTATCGCCGGGGAGTAACCTGCAATGGACTGGCATCCCATCCAGGGGGAAAAGAAATAGTCTCAGTCCTTTCATGCTACTGAATTCAGAGATAAATGCCGGCCTGATGGGCCATATTGGCTTGTGACAGATTTTACTTACTTTCACAGTATTTGCACCTAACACAAACAAACATGTCCACTAAAAAAAATTCACGTTTAAGGTAAGTAGGTCAGGAAAGAGAAAATTGATTTACAACATGCAAAAGAAAGTAGGCTGATTCACACTCGAGGGCGAAAACAAATGTGAACGGAGAATTTGTGACATCGCACATTTCAACTTCGACAACTTTCACAGCGAATGTTTTGTGGCATTAACATTGCCTCTGCATTCGCATTTGCATAAAGGATGAACTTGCCTGAATGGTTATAACGATAAATGTCATGCAGTTTCTATTTCATGCAAATGAAATTTAAAGCAACATGCAAAGAGAATTAAAAATTCATGCACATGCAGACATGCATTGCAATATTAAAACAATAAACGTACTGAATATTTTTAAACAAAGATTGCAAATAAAGCAATATTCTTTGAGGAAAGCCTTGAAAATAACCCAAAAATATTCAAAACTCTTCACTTACCTGATGTATCACACAGAAAAGCAAAGGGCAAAACAGACAAAAACAAAAAAGAAAGAATGTATTTAATCAGAAAATGTTTGCCATAGACTCATAGGTACCGTAAGATACTGACCTAATATCTAATATTGAGGCTCAACGTTTTTGGTGGTTTTTTTTACAAATAATTTGAACGAATCTCAGTTGTTAAAGATGTAATGCCTTAGCACGGAAAGACTATATTTAAGGTATTTTGCGCACAGCTGAGTCTTACAGATATACTCTCCGTGCTCTTCAACAAATGACATTTTTTTTTCATAATGATTTTTCAATTTGTGTGCATTATTTTAACCAAAAAAAAAGGTTTATTCTATTTTTAGGCATGTTAGGCTTGCTCATGTTGAACTTGATCATTGCATGTGAAAATTGAATAACTGAACATTTGATTATAAAGTCCAAGTTGGAATAATCGAATACTTAATTATTCCAAAATGCACAGTCCAAAGTTTACAATATAATGTAAGTGACCTGCATATGACTGTGTTGCCAACTCATTAATGCTTTTTAATTGTGGCTGCCAGATTAGTCTACAGACAAAAGCACATAAACTCACACAGTAAGCACACGTTCAGTGCAAGACACAGCAGTCCCTGGTTGGGTTGGTGCAGCAGCAGCAGCAGTGACAGCTGCAGGTGCAGGCACTGCAGGTGCTCGCTTGTTAGTGCGTGGGGGTCTAAAAGCAAAGAGTGCAATTAAGACAAAGCAAAGAAAGCTGTGCATGCCATGCAATAGGAAAATACAAGCAGACTGGAAAAAAAGAATATTACATGAATATGAATGGGTGGGATGGGGTGTCCCATCATGCCCATGGACTTGCAGTTATAAAGCTGTTTGGTTTTCCAACTGTGCATCTAAGATTTGACAATTTTCATTTTCAGGTAAAAACAGCAAGTACACGTACGTACTGCGTGTCCAAAAAAAACTGTCCTACTTTTGATCCTGAATAACTGTGTTGTTTACTGACTGAATGAAACCAAACTTTTCGATCATGTAAACAAGGCGTGACAAATTTTATGGATAGAGTTTCATAAGCTTTGTGCAAGAAGGTAAGATTTAAACGCCATACGAAAAAAAATTCACTTTCAGAATGTCAATACAGGGTAACAGTGCTGGAGACGGTGGTGGCAGGTGCGTGCTGCGGCCGAAAGCTTCTGAATGCAGGATCACCCCTGATGTCATTGCACACCTCCTTGATCGTTTGGGGCAATTCACGATTGAGGTGTGCAATGACATCAGGGGTGATCCTGCATTCCTTCAGAACTTTCGGCCACAACACGCGCCTTCCGCCACCGTCTCCAGCACTGTACAGTGGAACGTCACTATACTGAACACCGCCATACTGAACATTCGGCTATATACATGATACATTGGCTCCCAATTTTTGTGTACAAAACATTCCGAACATTGTCGTTGGAAATGCCAACAGAAGAGCAACAAATGGCTATTATTTCCTCATCAAATAGAAGGCAAAAGCCACCCATGTAAGCTCAAAAACTGTGTAATTACATGATTCAATAGTCGCACGTGTTCAAAGTCGTCATTCAGTAACTACCAGGGCGCACAGGGTGAAGTTCTGCTTCCGGAATTGAAAATATTAATGGACACATTTGGTGACTCCGCGCATGGTTTGTAAATGCAACTACATAATAACGATGATCAAAAGAGGGCAGGGCGCCACTAATGTGTGAAAATCGCTAATCCGACCGATCACTATTGCGAACAATTTCTGTGGATCCCACGATGTTCGTTATAGCGACCCCACGTTCCAATGTATTGGAGGACGTCAAGTCGAAAGTGGCAGATTCTGAAAGTGAGTTGTTGGGTTTTTTTTTCGTAGGGCATATAAATCTCACCCTCTTGCACAAAGCTGATGAAATTTACTCAATAAAATTTGTCATACCTTGTTTACATGATCTGAAATTTTGGTTTAATTCTGTTGGTAAACAACAGAGTTATTTAGAATCAAAAGTAGGACATGTTTTTTGTGCCACGTAGTACTAATTGTAACTAAAAACAAAGTCTGTAGAGGCAGTGATAAACTGAATCATCCACAAGTTTTTATGTAATCAAAAAAGATGATGAGTTTGAACTAAGTCACAGCATACAAATACATGTTACAGACTCAATAGTATTCACAATTTTAAATAGCCAACATTGAGCCCATTGGCACTTTTGATTTGAGAAGCCCCTTTTTTTTCTTTTTCTTTTTCCCTGTTCATTTTGCGGATGTAGTTGCAGAGCCATTATCCATATTTCATGTACAAGTAGGTAATGGTCTCATCAGTCATTAAATTGTCAGTTTATCAAACTGTGAGCCAGCAAGCCATATCTACATGTAGCTTGAAATCAAACAAAGGCAAAAATAATGGCCTCCATTTGAGGCAGTTGGGTCCATAGATTACAGGCCTATGCCTCCTCAAGAGTAATGAAGTGAGTAACTGAGCGGACCCGACAATGTCCGATGAGGATGAAGTCTGAATGAGCTAAAAACAACGGTGAAGATCTAATACATGTGGCAACTAGTGATATTGTGCAAGTTCTCCGAGTGTGGCCTAGTGGTACAGGGTTTGTGACTCGTGATCAGAGGGTCAGGAGTTCAAATCCAGCTGCTGGACGTACATGTTATTTGAAATATTCCTTGTAATTTATGCATATGAAACCAGTGATAAACACTTGCTCGATGACTATATTTGGCAGAGAAAGCCATATTTGGTGGAGAAATTAGACCGTAAGTGAATAATTAATAGCCTTAAGCATCCTGTGAAATCATGGCACCTGGCGTGCAGTAATTTTCAAGGAAAGAGGAATTTTTGAATCATCCAGGTTTTTTTCTTCAAAACTGCCCCAATGAATTTACCATATAGTCCACGTTTTGTTGTCACTCGGTTACACATCCGTGAACGGGTGCAAGCCAGCTAGTCAGGTTCCCTGACCTGACAATTCCCTGACGTAGAATTGCCCAACGAAAATGACTATCAGGGGGATTCATAATTTAATTGAGAAATCCAATTTTCTTGTGAGTCATTCATGACCAAAATTAAAATGTGCGATAATCCAATTGACTGTGCCAGTGACTTGTGACCGGTGATAAGTGCAATGGGTATGACTGGGTTTTGCTTTGGCTTACACTGATCCGTCCCCAGCTGACTGGCTTTTCGTGCTGGGAAAAAAAACGGAATTGTTTGAAAATTAACTCTTATTGCAGAACATTCTGTAACAGAAGGTGAAGAAGTCCATGATCATGGGATCATTTGGGGCACGTGAATTACATGTATTTATGTATGTTATAAACAAATATTTGTTTTGGTGGGTTTAACTCTTCATACCGGTAGTTACAATATAAAGTCAGCTTTCTGTCCTCTGTGCCTCCCATAAATCTCCAGTCATCGCCTGCTGTTAAATGTTTCACCAAAATTGAGCAAGATACGGATTTGCAAATTGTGAAATAATTTCTTGTTCGAATTTTTTGGCAAGCACAGGAGAGACATACTGAGAAGCAGTTGTGGCTCCAGAGTTTGCCTCAATAGAACGTGCAAGTTGCCCTCAAAAACCTGCAAGATTTTACAGGAAAATCTGTAGTACATCTGGGCACCGTGTATCTACATCGAGTGAAACATGTCCAGACTGGGCTTATCCAGTCAAGGACAATAAATAGGTTATTGGAAGAAAAAAACCCAGAAAGCATTACAATTTACAATATACCTTTGAAAATATTGCAAATTAATCAATATAAATGAACTGAAAAATTATGACCTCAGCTCCTGTTTAATCAATCACCCAGGTATTAACAATTGGGTAAATATGCCATGACTAGACCAGTTGGTGACATGAAAAAGTGAATGTGACCTGGCGAGTACTTGCACGCTCTATTATGCTGTATTAAATCAAAACAAGTTTGTGCAGCACCTGGTTAACTAAGCAATGATTGGTTTTTTTTAGAGGCAGAAAATAGGCAAGGTATCTAGATTAGAAAGGCAAGCACAACAGTTGTGGTCACGGAGATGCTAAGAACAGAAATTTACTGATTGCAAATCAGGTTACCAGTTAATATGTCATGCAATTTTATGCTTGTCATTGGTTTTCTGCTGAGTTGCAGTTGCTGCTCTCATACATGAACAGTGTATGTGCAAGTACATGCAACAAGTTATAGATAAAATCCTAGTCATTATGATATACCCCGTATACGTATGCCCTCTTTGCCGGCTAAAATGGAACCGTCGGCGAATTCCGCAAAATCCTCCAATTGCCACCATGTACAAATTTTATTCAGCCTTAATCCTCCAAAATCATCCATTATGTTTTGAATTTGTTCTTTCGTTATTTCTTGAAATTGTTCAGTGGAGGGGTGACCATTGCCTCAATCCTTCAAAATCCTCCAACAATCACTGTTTATAGGTTGAGGCAGTGCCAATGACGTTTAGAAGCAGTGCAGATGATGTCGAGCATAATGCAGGACTCAATTATGCATTGCTAAACATTATACGGGGTACATGTACCGGGCCAAAATCAACCGACACTTGTTTTGCCATTCAGCCTTAATCTTCCAAAATCCTCCAAAACTTCCTGGAGGATTTTAGGGAATAGGGTTAGGGTTAGGGAATTCTCATTAAAAAAAATTACTAAATACCACAGAAAAGAGCAAGTACTTTTCAAAACTACGAGGCAACTTTTAAAACTACACTAACCTTCTAAATGGATAACAATATACATGTAATTTAGCAAAATGTGAAATTTTGTTTGGGTTGGTACTTGTAACACACATTTGTGTAGTACTACACTATTCTTGCCCTATGCAAACTGCATTTGTAATTTACTAAAAACAACGAAGCAATGAAATAAAAAAATCAAGAAGTAGGCTATAACTATTTGCTATTCTACACGACTGGAAGTGAATTAAAAAGAGGTTTGTGATCTATAATTTGAGAAAAAAATCTATGTAAAAAGCTAGAAAGACTAGGTAGTAGAATAAACAGAAATGGTTGAGAGTCGTTTGATAAAAAGGGTACTTTATGTCAAGGAGAGGGTGCTTGGCCATGCAAAATCCATGCAGTTACAGAAGTGGGCGTATACACTTACACGTCACCAATCGCGGCTGTGACCTTTGACACAGAGGTCAAAGAGGCAGGGGAGGAGGCATCCTCCCTATCTGTCTGCTTACTGCTTACGAAGTAGGGAAAATGGGGGTGTCAAATCATGGGCAGGGTTACAAAATGGACGATTTAGGGTTAGTACATGTATGGGGTAACAATAACATAGCTTGTTACATTGTTTCTATAATGTTTACTGGTATAAATGATCGCGTAAACCCTGTCAAAATGACATTTTTGTTTCACTCATATCCTTCCTTGCACACCAATTGTCAGTGCTGTGGTCGAGTCCCTGCAAGTCCAGCACAAGTCCCTGCAAGTCCATCACAAGTCCAGCACAAGTCCATCACAAGTCCATCACAAGTCCATCACAAGTCCATCACAAGTCCATCACAAGTCCGTCACAAGTCCATCACAAGTCCGTCACAAGTCCGTCACAAGTCCGTCACAAGTCCGTCACAAGTCCGTCACAAGTCCGTCACAAGTCCGTCACAAGTCCATCACAAGTCGTTCAGTCTCAAGTCAAGTCAGGAGCTATTCAAATCAACTGTTACACAAGCATTCCTTTGTCATTGATCATCAAGTTACTTGTGACTGGACTTATGAAAGGATTGTGAATGGACTCGGCTACAACACTGTGACTTGTTTCACTGCAGGCAGCGATACCTCTATTTCATTTTCTTGTATGTAAAAAATCCTGACACAATTGAAAACACAAGCTGACTGCTGTCATGCAGGACGTGCATAAATATCTTATAACCCATATTATGCCTTCAACAAAATGTTTAAATTCTGAACAAAACAGCGCATCTCCAAATTTGCTTGGTGAAACCTTGACCAAAAACTATTATGAAGTAAAATGTCATCCGGTAAAAGTATAGTTTAACCCTAACTCCCAAGCGTCTTTCACTAGGAACTGGACCAAGTCCATCAAAATCCATGAATCGCTGTGCTTTTAATACAAAACTATACATGCCATAATGGAATCCACCACTGACGCACTGGTTGACATTCATTGACTTGCTACACATGGCTTTTATCATAATAGCAGTATAGGAAGCTAGGCGAAAACCAATCGGATACCCCTAGCACTGCTTCAGGCCATTAGGCCCACGTCCTCCATTGATATTTAGTCACGCCAGGCCTTCTGGACCAAGTCCCCCAAAATCCACCAAAATGGAGGGGTGGATTTTGATGGAGTTGGGGTGGTTAGGGTTGAACCAACAACTGACGCAAATCCCATAAATTGTCTTTTCAACATTCAAAGCAGAATTTCTGTGAATGCAATAATCATTAGTCTGCTTTCATTTAGTGTTTTGGTCTTCTAGCCAACAAGACACCTCATAATAATGCAACTCTCCTACAGGTTCACACCACCACATCCAAATCCAAAGAAATCAGCTACATTCACTGCATTATATTCTACATCTAGGATCAATCTGCTACTAATCTATGAAAACTGCTACTAAGTTCACACTCCGCTGTTGTCGTGGTTGTATTGCTGGTCAGATCCCACATGATCAAAACCATGATAGAGGGGCAGATAGGGGAAACATTTGGGGGAATTGTGCCTTTGATGATACAAGCATGACATGTGACACACAGTCATCAGAGTATGTCTTAAGAAAGATATTTGGCTATAGGGCCATCGCAGATTTGTCCTTTGAAAAAAATACAGGTACCGGTACAATAAAAAGCAATTTTAATTTTTTTTTAAATGGTTGCCATTGCTTGTTATTCTACCTATATTTGTTCAAAGGACAAATCTGTGATCGCCCTATCGACAAATATCTTTCTCAAGACATACTCTGACTGTGTGCCAAATGCCATGCTTGTATCATCAAAGGCACAATCCCATCACCTATCTGCCATACTACGACACCCAATGAAGGCGGCCATCTTGGTAGGCAAAGCAGCACAACACATTGCGAACCACTATAGATCACTAGTATCTTGAAGCAAGGCTACATTCCACCAAGATGGCGGAAACAGGAGTCATGACATCATCTGCAAACTCTCTAACATCTGCCAGCAATGCTGACATGCAACCACTTCAACAAATTATGAAACAAGTTGAAAATAATAAATAAATTCGTAAAAAAACCTCTAAAAGATGAAGTGGCTTACCTGACTTCTTCGGAGACGCTGACGGGCGTAGCTGTCTTGCGACCACTGAGGGCGCTGTTGGAGCGCGATGGGTCTTCCTCCATCAGGATCTGACGCAGGATTTTGTCTCCTTGCACCTCAAAATCAGAGATTTCTTTCTGCTCCAGTGAACTAAAGGAAAACAGGAACAAACAAGATAGGCATGCATCATCAATGCTGAAAACTCTGAGGCTTCTAAACAATGAATAATACTGTACTTCATATTTGAAATTACAATGTATTTACTCATTGAAAGAAATCCAGCTGTTACACCTATAACAGTTGTAATGAAAATGTAACACTTTGCTCTGAGTTTTACCAAAAGCTTTTCACACTTTTGCCATTGGGGCTGCCTTCAGAGTTTTGCTTTTGACGACACACACACATGTATGGCCTGAGAGAAAATCTGACACATATCCCATTTATTATAAGATGGAATTTTTTTGGAATTTTTTTTACATCAGATTCAAACCGGCCAACCGATCCCGTTAGCTCAGTGGTCGAGTGGTAAGACATCTGCACTAGAAAGCAGGAGGTCGTGGGTTCGAGTCCCACCCGAGTGATTTTTCCAACTTTCACTCGGGAGGTAACACACTGAGTATACAGTGTTTAAAAACGTCGGTGAAGGGCAAAACCTAATTTGATGTATATCCCATTTCATCATCATCATTTCACAGAATATTCTAATGAATATTACTTTTATTTGAAAGGTGATGTAGTTCTGTAAGTACCACACGGAATTACTTACACTCTGAGTTTGACCAGCTTGTAGTACGCCGTCAAGTCTCCGCTCTGTTTGATGTCCTTGATTAGTTTACTGTGATCCACAAGCTGATGACGAATCTAAACCAAGAAAATGATTATAACTCAATATATAGATCTCCTTTAGAGGGTCCATCCTCCACGAAAGAATTTTAAAATGCCTGCTAATGTTTAGTCTTTAGTGAAAGGGCAAAATATATTGGAAATCAATCACACTGTCAGGCTTCTCATAATGCAGGTATTGGAGAACTCGCCATGTATCTTACACTTGTAAGCCAGTCAATATCACAGCGAAGTTAGGTACGGACTTGATGCATTTGATCAGAACTTGTTGGGAAGTTTACAATTTGGGAAGTTTTCCGACTGTCTGCACTAGACTTAATTTGGTCACGTTGACAAGTCTTTGTACGTTTTACCAAAAAGGTCCAATGCAAACACTGCTTAAACCTAAAGGGCCTTGCGCGTCTTTTGATACCAAAAACATAAAACTCGACCAAGGGTTGCCACGCAGCGAAACATTTTCCTGAAACTGCATTTTCCCATATACATCGTGTACACAGAGCAGAGTTACCATTCGTACATATGAATAATTAATTAGCCATAATTCCAAAATCCTTTGACCTATAGTCATGAAATGTCTTGGGTAGGTTCATGATGATTTGCTCTATGCATGTACCGAGTTTCAAAATTTGTCGTCACTCGATGCCCGGCTGAGAGATGGTCAAAATAACCCAGCCCTTTTAGAGTTAAGTGTGTGAATTAAGCTTTAAGTACCTCAGCAGTGGCTTAATAATTGAAAAATCTTGACGAAAGCCCCAAAAACGCCTCTGATTTGAACGATTTTGAATGCCCTTTGTTCCGCTCAATAGACTTTGTGCATGGTGTTTTCGACCATTTTCCAGAGCCCTGTGGATGAGACACACAACATGCGCATACTGGTTTGCATGTGTATGACACTATTCACACTAAGTATGTGCAAAAACCCGTAGCATCTTTCAGGCATGCAACTGGGATTTTAGAAAAAAACGAGGAAACTCAAAACCACGCAAGATTTGCAGTGTTTTTCAATTCGTAATGGCATTCATGAGAAGTAAAAAACGAGGAAATCAGCAGATCCGAAGAAAAGTTGCATGCCTGGTCTTTGCATGAGCATCAGGCTTCGTCAGCAATGTGTTCCAATGTCTCTCCATGTGGTCTCCCCCACACTCCCCTTTGTTTCTGTTGAGGGGTACATGTGCACAGAGTCCAACATGTCATCAATAATGCCAACATCTTATTCAATGTAACTTAAACCTCCAAGCTACAATTTTCTAATCCTAACAACATTTGTTGACAAAATACACAAAAAGAACAATAGTGGCATCAGTACGCATTTCAACTAATTTGTAATATGCAACATTTTAAAACTAACCCAACGGTAAAGCGTTTTGCATTGAGATGCAAGTGACATACATCATTTCTGCATGAATTTTTCATGCGCAATGGAAATACAATCTTATGACATTAAAGGGACACTAGGTCCTGGAACAGCCCAACTGGGCTACAAAACGCGCTTTGAACGAGATGATGTTAATCGGAAACAACATTTAAAAGTAGGATATAAACATCCACACAACTATCCTTTAGAAACTGGGCCTTTTTGTGCTATTCCTGTATTTTGCGTGCGAGAACAAATTTCGGGGTCCACTTTTGCGACCCCATAAATTCGAGCTGTTTGGATGGTAGTTGTGATTCCATTTGTAAAGTGTTCGCCTTTAGCGGACGTTGAAGAAACCACATTTCTTGCATTGGTGATTGGTCACCGCTGTTTGCGAGACACACAATGTGTATATCGTACACTGAGAACGACACAAAAAGCGTATTCGTACTCCGTCGAGTCTGATGTAAACAACCAGGGATTTTTCCTCTTTTCTCGCGAATGGTAAGACATTAGGTTGGTTTTCTTTCAACCAGATGTTTGAAATTGGCTAAGTAAATAATCCAAAACATGAAATTTTCAGGGATTTCAGGAGCTAGTGCCCCTTTAAGTTATAACTACCGGTATCCAATACCTTTCAGCATATTAAACTCAGATAAAAGAATCCTTTCTTCAAACCATACAGGAGTAAAAAAAGAACCTGAATTTTGACAAATTGGTTGTCACAATGTTTCTTGCACTGACACAACGATTTCTTTTGTAAACAGGAAATGTACCTGTAATCCCAAGACCTGTTTGTACAACGCTGCCACGTTGGTCTTGGTAAACTCCGCCGTGGCTTTGCTGACCTCCGCGGCCTCTTTGACTCTCCCGGCATCCACGTGACACTCAATCAGCGCTATCATCAGCTGGGCCCGCCACTCGTAGTCCTTGTCGTCGATATCGTCCAGGGCCTTGACCACTGAGTGTAAGCTGATGGACAGGTACTGGCGGTAGCCCGGCTTGAGGAACGGACGGCAGAACTGCCAGAAGAGGACCGAGGCATTGTAGACGAGGAAATGATATCTGGAAAATAAATGATGATCAGATGGAATCAAGGGTGAGATCGAGGGATGAATGGAAAATCCATGAAATAAATCGACAGAGGGTTTCAGGGTTGACGAAGGCCCAGGAGCAACGTAGGGTATACATGTACATGAAATACAATTATGTCAACATACCATAGCTAATGGGTAACAATTTCTTCTACATGTGGTTCATATATGCATATCCCCAAATACATACTTGCAGGAAATACTAAAGGGTGACAAATATGTGTACAAACCTTTGGTTTTCCTTAGCAAAGTTAATTGCCTTCAGCAGATAGACCACAGCTTTTTCTAGTTGTGTCTGCAATCAAAACAAAACAAAATGACTGAAGGAACAGAATTAGGAAAGAATGTTGCATCCTGACGCCACTTTTTTTAATCACATATAGGTCTCTCTCAAATGACGTCACTTCCTACAGATTGCCACGTGCATCGGCCTTTTGGGCGTCAAATTGTCGTGACCCGCATTGGCTGCCCCGTATTTCGAAGAAATTTTGAGCAATATGCGCTTGTTTAGAACATTTTGCAAACTGCGCACACACGAACCTTATGGCGTTGAATAGGCGTAGTTTTCGTACGAAAATGTCGTCCTATGAGAGAGATACATTATCTCAATGAAGGTCAGTCATTGCAAAAATGTTGAAAAGAGATGAATCTGGGACTGATGGAAACATTTCCATTTTGTTAGAAAATACTTTGAATATATGCAGTCGACTCTCCATAGCCTTTGTACACAACCAAGGAAGTGGCGTCTGGATAAGTGCATTCTTTCCTAGAATGACATAATTGCCAATGTGCACAAACTGAGAAATGGTCTTATATATTATTGTGTGCCCCTGTTCTTGCATCGTATATGGGACACATATGGAGTGAGTGGGGGTGACCCAAAATACCCCCGTCCTTAAAGGGTTAAGCTGCCTCTGATCAAAATGGGAAAATAAATATTAGAAATGGAAGCTTACACTATCTTCAGCTGATGTGGGTGCCAACAGTTGGGCCTGGCATAGGTACGCTCTGCACAGAAACTGGTTGGGTGGCGACGCTTTCATGAAAAACATCTTGAGACATTCCTTGGTGATATCGACAAGACCATACTACGAGGAAGAAAGACAAAACAGTTTCTCCCTTTAAACTAGAATAATTATGTGGCTTTTTCAACAAATTTACCTCGCGTGTTTTTAAACACCCCTCTAGCTATATGAATCCAAATTTCATGTGACACTGGGAAAGTGTTTAAAGACCAGCCAGTCATGTCTTTATTAACCGTTTGAGACCAGCCACGGACAGGCTCTCGACCAACAAGAATGGGTAAAATGTCTTAGGTATTTATGAATGATGATTGAAGGTGGAAAACACTGTACACATTGTCTGACGAAATCAGACCTTGTACCTTTAAAGGTACATGTATTACATAAATCTAAATCTATTTTTTTTATGGAGAAAATTTAGTGATGAGACTATCAACTGGGACTTTAAATTATTACACCTTTAGATGGTTTAGGTATTAAAAACCTGCACTGGCAAAGTTGATTCATACCAATTGTATTAAAACAGATCAAGGAATGATTAAAGCAAGAGTACTGTAAGTGTGCTGACTGAACAATTCATTGCTATTCTACAAGAATTTAAAATTCAAACTTCGAAAAAACAACATTTAGACTCTGACCTTGACTTCAATCAAAACAATGATTTGGGGTAAATATGCAAAACTTACACATACAAATGTATTAGTAGAGGTGATGCTCATGAAGTAGGGGTGTTTGAGTGTGTTAACATCTTACACTTTGTAATTAAGTGGAATTGAGTCGATTTCAATGATTAAAATAACCCTCAATCAAATGCCAAAAAAAGTGATCTAAATCAGTGATTAAAACAAAATTGTTTGATTTAAATCGCAAGTTAAATCAGCCATTTAAATCAATGTGACTTAAATCAGCCAAAGCTGGGGGCATGACTGTGAAAGTGCTTGTTGAAAAGTCTAGTCACCTGGAAGGCAATTTCTGCACACAGCACATAGAGATCCTGGCCAAACGGTAAGGGTCCATCTGACGTCGGTTTAGTCTCTGCAGCGGTCTTGAGCTGATCGTACGCTTGATGAAGGAAGGAGCCTTCTGATTCAACTGCAGTATTTAGGAATAGTCCAAATCAAGGTCAAGAATGGCAGTGCAGAGTTGAAACTGGATGGAAAGATTTTCTTTGCGTCACACTTTTTAATTTTTTATTTTCCACCGAGACAAAATTTAATCACCTTTGAAAGAGATCAAGCATTACACACACACAAAATTCACCTACATTGGCCACGTTAACTTAAAGAATAATTACTTCACAAATTTCAAATTACCTGCACCTGACAATAATTTAGGCATACATTTTTTCATGCATTATGGGTGCAAAAGCAACCCAAAATAAAAGGGTTGAAAACGTCAGAAAATGGAGGGGGGAAGTGTTTTGGTGTCAATAAAACACACAAATAAAAAATTGGTTAGGAAAATGTGGCCTTCACGATGGGCCGGATTTAGCCCATGTTTTTTTATTGGTGTTACACACTGGGGTAATCTATTACAACCTTTGGGCCAAGGTAACTCAAAAAATGTGGGACTCTCAATACTGTGCACGAGAGTCCCAAATAATAAGATACTGAAAACAGGCAATACAAGAAAATAGACTGGCACATGACATGAAACAACCAGTCCACACCCCTTTAGTACATTAACCAACTGTCACTGTGTCAAAAGGAACATCTGGTACCCATTCTCTATTCCACACATTCTCTCCATAGTCATCAGGTCATGCCACCAGACTACTGAGGGTCAATCTTTTCACAAAGTTGGGCATTGCACCAGTCTAGTCTTAGGCTTCAAATTGAAATCACTTGGCTTCACTAGTTCCCAGGTGTAAAGTGTTGAAGAAATGTCTTCTTTAATTAATTAAAAATTGAATTGAGACATCAAACTTGGCTGGCAAAATACTGAGGACTTTGTTGTTGCCTCATGAAAATTTTGTCAGCTGAATATTGAGTTAATTTGGACTGAGTTTGTTTTGCATATTTTTCTGCTTTCAAAGTCCCAGTCTGGATGTAGACCATGCAAGCAATGATAAAAATATTTAATTGTTCTTTGGCATCCTCTCTCTTCAAAATTTAACATAGATTCACTAATTAGACCTAACGTCCTAGCCATTACTTTTAGATAAAGAATAAGTACTACCATGGAGCTATAAAAAGGAATACTATGAGTGTTGTGCACAAGTTATATGCTGAAGTATTTCATACATGTATAGTAGTAATTGTGTAGCTTTGGGTGTGGCAAAGGTTACGGTAGCTAAAACAGCGGGCATGTTTGAAACCCTATTTTCTTGAGTGATAAACTACCGGTAGGCCTAACGTTAAACTTAGGCCTACAGTCAACAGTAAGTTGAATAAGCATGTAATTTAGGACCCCGTTCCATAAATAAGAGAACGAAAAGACACTTTTATGTTTAGGGACTGTTTAGGTTTACCAGCAGGAACCATTTTGCATTTTATAAAAAAAATTAACATAAAATTACAAAAACCTAGAGTTTTTACTATTTTAGACCTACTTTATTTCATTCAATGATGAATAAAAAAAGACTGGGGAAGAATGTGGCACCCTGATGTCACTTTTTTCATCATATTCCTACGTCAACAAAAGTCAGTCATTGCAAAAATGTTAAAAAGACATCCATCTGGGACTGAGAAACATTTCCAATTTTGTTAGAAAATACTTTAAAAATACTCTTGACTAGGGCCTATATCTCCATAGACTTTGTACACAACCACTGACAACCAGGCAACAGTGACCAACAAAGTCATTCATGAAAGTGGCGTATGGATATAGGCCCTCCCCCTATTTCAATTCTTTCCAAAGGCTGCTTGGGGCTGCAAAAGTCATTTTGGAAACTCTGACAGTCATTTGCAAAAGTCATCTGTAAACGGAACAATTAAATAGGGGTGTTCTAAACTACACGACTACCCATTCAACGTGTTCAACAACGTCAACAACATGCACGAGCAGAACGGCGCGGCAACGGGGTTTTCGAATCCGCCAAATCAAATGAAATTGACAAGACAAGCGACTTATTTAAAAGATGCAACGATAACGTCAACTGGTAAGCTCAAATATACCTCCATACTGCTGAGCAGCAGAGAGAAGTTGTCTTATATTGCTGTCCATAACTGTCAAGTCTTCAACATTGAAAAACGAGCTTTAAAGAACCATTTTACTGCACAAAGTTAACATTCTGACGGCTATCCTCCATTCACACGATATCCTGGCAACGGATACCGCTCTGGCGCTTATTGCTATACCGTACGTACAAAAGTGACAATTGATTGATTTAGCCAGTGCTAAAAAATATTTAGTTTCTCTCTTTTCCATATTATTTTTACTATTTGGGGCAGGAGAACGAGAGGAATTTTTTTTTTTTATGTCCACATAACAAATCTAGGGCTTCCACCAAATCACTCTAAAACTGCAGATAAAACTTTGTTAGTTTGTAACGTACTAATCTCAGTGTTTGGTGTGCGGTTGATAGACATTTTACAGAGAACGTTTAACACAGCAAAATCTCTTCTTTTTGTTCCAGGAGTGCATGGGGACATTTAGGAGCGTACCGTTGGCTGTTGACGGTTGTCGTGTAAATCTCTGGCCAGAAACAAGTTTACTAGGCCGAAAGTTAATCCCCTGCAAAATAACAACTATGTGTGTTAATTGAGTGCGCAGCCTAATTATGGAACACTTTGATTTTATTCATACCACGTACCGAAACTTCTTGCACGGTGAAAAGTCTGACATGATGATGATCTTGCCTCTTCAGTACGTGGCTGCGGGGGGGGGGGGGGGGGGGGGGGGCGGTAGGGGATTGGCGGAGCAGTTAGTGTATGGGCCGGGGTTGGCGGGGGTGTTGGCCGTGTCGGAGGGGGTGGCAGGGCCGGTGTTGGCGGGCCGGGGGCCGGGGGTGAATTTGTTTCTGCATAGGGGACGTTGAACAAGGAGGACAATATGGTCCCCAATTCCCGAAGCCCCAATTTTAAGTTCGCGATGTGTACAAGACATATGGGAGGTCTTTCAGAAAAGTTAGTCACGTAAAAACAAAAGAGGGACAATAGTCCCCAATTGCAGGTATGCTACAGGGGCACATGCTACCCTGCTATACATGTCTCCCCCTCCCCAAACCGGTCTACCCGATGTTCCCCGATACCTAGTCTATATGTTCCCCAATACCGGTGTTCCCCCGAAATTAGGGTTCGGGTTAGGGTTAAGGTTACAGGGTAAGGATTTCGGGGAACATCGGTCATGATTAGGGAATATGATTATCGGTCATGATTTGGGACTTATTGGTATGCACCCGGCCCCATCCCTCCCCACTCCGACGGAGGAATGAGCTTATATCTTTAAAAACGGATTCAATGCCCCTCCAGAAAATGACCCCCCCCCCCCGGTTATAGTGCACCCCCAGCCCTTACAGAAATGTCCCATGAGCATCCCATGGGATTCCCATGGGGTCCCATGGGATTCCCATGGGACCCCATGGGAAACCCATGGGGTCATCAAGAACACCATGTAAGTTAAAATGATCATCATGGGAAACCCATGGGAACACCATGGAGATTGCATGGACAACATGGGAACACCATGGGGATTTTACGAGCTCCATGGGAACACCATGGGGATTTTATGAGCTCCATGGGAACACCATGGGGATTTTACGGACACCATGGGAACACCATGGGGATTTTATGGACATCATGGGAACACCATGTTGAATTAATGAACACCATGGGAACATCATGGGAATTTATGGACACCATGGGAACACCATGGGAACCCCATGGCGATTTTATGGACACCATGGGAACACCATGGGGATTTTATGGACACCATGGGAACACCATTGGGATTGTATGTCACCATGGGAACACCATGGGGATTTACTGGACACCATGGGAACATCATGGGGATTTTAGACACATGGATACACCATGAGGATATGGGGATTTTAGACACATGGGTACACCATGAGGATTCGGACGCCATGGGAACACCATAATGTGGGTGATATAAATCATGGATACAATGGGAACACCATGGAGATTTAAAAGGCAGCACGGGGACACTGCCGGGTTATACTGGAGAACATGCATGTGCCATGAAAAACCATCATAGACCCAATTGCACTCCCAAGTTATAGGCAAACCTTTCTTTGATTTAATTACTTATTCGCCTAGCTGTAAATTTGAATTCAATTAAAAATATTTCCCTTGTGGTCATAGAGGTTATCAAGAATTCTATTTGTTAAGCTGACCATGGGAAACTCCTGTGGATGTTCACCAATTGAACACAATGGGATAAACACCATGGGACACCATGGGAACACCATGGGAACACCATGGGACACCATGGGACCACCATGGGACATTTTTGAGAGAATCTCTTACAATAACGAGTGTTGTAATTGCACATTTTTGAATATTTCTGTTGATAAGTGAAGTTAAATGATGAATACAGTATTTTTTTATGTGGACAATGTGTCATTCAAACTTTGGATAATATTGATTCATTTATTATTATGGTTGGAAACATTTATGAGAAAATAAATTGGGAACACTGTGATAATATGGTACAACTTGACAAGTGGTATGGGAGCAATAATATGGACTTTAGTCATAGAGTGCACATACCACTCCTATTACGTGGAACAACCCCCATTGGAGTTCCGTGATGTGCTTCACCTATTTGGTGAATAGTACTTAACACACAGGGTTAAAATGTATAGGAAGTTGTTATTGAAAAATACCATGGAGCAATATTTTTTTGAGAAATGAAAGGAAACCATACATGGGACAAAGCCCATACAAAATTTCCCATGGGAAAAAGCCTATGGGAAAAATCCCATGGGAAAAATCCCATGCTACATGGTGTCCAATTCACCATGCAATTCCCATGGGGTCCCATGGGAAAATTTCCCATGGGAATTACATGGGACATTTCTGTAAGGGAGGTCTCCCACGACCTCATGAACCTCATATATAAATACATAATTGATTCACGACCACATGAATTTTTGTGCAGATATTAAACTGGTGCAAGATCTTAAAGGGCCATGAAATGTGTTTTAATGCAATCCTTGAAAATGCACCTTTGTGTCCCTTTAACCTTATATTTTCAATTTAATTTTGCCATTGTCAAGGGTATTTTGGAGCCTTTTTGGGTTTTTTTTATGCTAATGTGAATTTCTATATTCATGAGCAAAAGTGTGATGTCATATCAGGCAGAAACCTAAATGTTGCAATTAGTTTATTTACAAAAAGTTGCAACAATTTTGGATCATTTCGTTGTCGTAAACTTTCTTTCATTATTGATTGGCGTTGTTGTGTCAGTTCATGGCAGTAAGCCAATGAGCAAATTTTTCTCTCCGTGAAATAATTTCAATTATCATTTTATGGTTCACTATTTCAACAGAAAAACCGTGTCTCCCTGAAATGACAACAGCGCCCTCAGTTGTCTGGAAAAGCATGGAAAATTGTAAATGTTTAAAGAAGTGCACTTTTCAAAAAAATTATCCAAAAAGGAATATCAATTAGTTTTAAAGTAGCACAAAATAATTATGATCCTAAGAAATATTCACTTTCACAAGCCCTTTAAAAATTACTCTCACAAAATTGAAACCTACCTCTAAACCTACCTCAATTGTGCCCGCTCCAATAGTCTGTTAATGCTCTTGGATATGATTTTCGATTTGGTTTGATAAAATGAAATTTCTTAAAATTTTAAATTAATTTGACATTTTGTATTTTTGTATTTGTTTTTAATGATTTTGCATTTTATACAGGTTCATAAGATAAACATGTTTTTTAGTATTAGTAGCCACATCTTCTCATTCCTGTGCCTATGATTTAGATACTGACGGCTGCTGCTGAAAATGCGAAGAGGAAAGTCCCAGAAGAATGTAACGTAAGAAAACTGTTCGCTCTATAAACTGATAAATTTGATTTCATAGGAAATCTGTTAGAAATGTTAACAACTATCGACAGAAACTAGGAGCCTAACTCAGTTTGCACAGTCAGTGATATTGATAGTGATAATTAATCATATGTTATGAAGTTAATCATGTTAATGCCAAGAAGTTTTTGAGAGATTGATGGGCATGTTCAGCGAATTGAGATTGTTGTGCGCTTTCTAAGTTTCTTGCAATGTGCGCATTCTTAAGAATGAGCACGCATTCTTAAGAACGAGTGCGCATTCTTAAGAATGAGAATGACTGCTCATTCTTAAGATTGCGTGGGAACATTACATGCGATAAGTGTAGGCCCTGTTTTGTTTTGATTATAAAGATATTCCCTAGTCATGCTAGTCCATCATTTGTAATTTGTGCATTTTTTTCGTTTGAATAAAATTGAAGCAACAAAAGTGTTCAAAATTGAATGAAGGATACTGAACAACTAGCCTGATGAAGTTTCAGCTCAGCTTCAGCTGTATATTCCGAGAAAAACAGCATTTTAGGATCTCAATTTCAAATCAAAAGTTGCTGAATCATAATGTTTTGAATTGGGCCCGAATTCAGCGTCCGAGGCGCGTTTTCACTGAGCCGATTGCAGCTATACGCGATGTCGCGCACTCTTCCGACGAATTATAGCAACCGTGCGCGTGTGCGTCGTGCCAATGCTTGCGCGCGCTTCGCCGAATAACAAAACGAACTACTAATTTAAATTTTTCTACGGTGCGTCTTAAGACGGGTGCCTTAAGAAGCACCGTTGGAAAGGCCTTCTTTCGTTGATTACTTCAAAATGACAGCTTGCCAGAAAGAATAATTTCACAGGGAGTTTAGTCCCCTTACTATCTTTCAACCAAGTATGTTTTTCAACAATAATTACGCCAGTTACTTTTCGGATGGCTGCAAATGATGGACTATAGCTTTAAATTAGAGTCAAAGATGTTTTTATTGCTCAAAAATCACCTTTCCAATTCAAAAGCAGACTTCTCTCAATTCTAATGACACTTTTTTTGCCATCGGTTTACTGCTGGTTGGTGCCTTGCGAATCAGCGCGCCATGCATGTTCACGGTACATCGCGCGGTGATCGCCAACTTTACTTTCGGATTGCGTGTAGTTGCCGCACTGTCATCGTCATTTTACCTCCAAATTTTCCTCCAGAATTCTGCCCCCCTGCCCTCTATGACATACCTGTTTATTTAGAATGTCGCCAACTACATGTAGTTTGGTCGGTCTAATAATTTAAAGTGGATTTTGTTCCCTTATAGTAGAACTGAGTCCGTAGATACACTATCGCCCAAGCTATTACGTGTGCAATTTATGATTTTTAAATTTTGCGCAATCATAACAAACATTGCACGGCACAGTGGGTTGGCGTTGGTGGGCACAGTGACTGTGCAGTGTGCAATAACGTTGCACCACATGAATTTCCGAACTGTTTCGGGTTTTTGGGGGTTGATTTTCGGATTTTCACTAGATGGCTTAACCGCGACCCGACCTGACCCGAAATTCACAAACGCAAAACCGAAACCAACCCGACCTGACTGAAATGATGGAAACGGCCTAATCAAAATAGAAACTTTGGGTCGGTTTCGGGTCAGGTTTGCACAGCAATAATCATGCATCAGTTTCAAATGGACTTGGTGACAACATCATACAGACCTTATTATACAACACCTGAATAAATCCCCGTCATCTAATTGGTGGGTCGTTGATCACATGTCATTGAATTGTTCATCCCAACGCACGGCGCGCGCGTCGCGCAGCGCACAGTGCAATGGAAGTTCTATTGCACGGTGAATAGAACTTCCATTGCACGGTGTCACTGCTGCCGGTGGTGGCGCTGTTTTAAATCGAGATAAATTGAATATGATGGTTCTCAACCTGTTGAACAGTTTGCATGAATTAAATATGATGAACTTGTCGAACTTTTAAACAGTTTTTAACCGGAATAAATTGGCCATTTCGCCTCGTGTAATGGAACATTTCATCTGTCACCTCCTGAAATTATTCTTACCATTGCACTCACAAACATTCATTATTTGTATAATATCTCAGCAATTTTACACTAACTTGGTTGCCCCATAACGCAAGTCAAGTGACTGTTTACTTCCCAAGCAAAAGCTGTGGTCAAGTACCCCTCAGTGGTAAGAGATGGAGAGTTGGAGGAGACCACTTGAATAGAACTAAGAACTGCTGAAGACGCCTGACACTCATGCGAAGATGTTCTGGCTCTGTGCACATCCACAGTCAACATAAAATTAAAATAAAATGACTTGTGCATAGGTATTTCGCGCTATATGTGCACAAAACAGTACACACACACAATGTGTCCCATCCATGGGGCTCTGGAAAGTGGTAGATTTCCATATACGAAGTTCACTGATTTCCTCTGTATTGACTAACAAGCCCCCAGATAGCAATTTCATGTCATCAAAGTCAATTTGAGCAGTGAGAAAATAAAAGCATTTTCTTAGAAAACACTTAGAATTTTTCAGTCCAATCTCATAGGGTTTGTACACAGGGTGTTGAGTGAACTTTGTATGGAAATCTTTCCCTGGAAAGTGGTAGAAAAAAAGTAAACAAAGCTCTTTTGTTTGCGCACAGAGCCCATAGCTTTAGTACACAGTTTCAAAATAACATTTCAAATCCATTGAGGTTTTTAATATTCAGCAGTCAAAGGAGTACCGAAGTGTGATGTCATTTAGAACCAGAAAGTGTAGTGCAAACGAATGGAGTACGCGCGCGTGTTGGTTCACGGGCTGAATCACGCGCTAATGTCTTTCACACACATGTTGGGCACGTGACGTATTCACTTTGGTACTCCATAAGCCATTTGCGAATTAACTTCGAGTATTAAACATCTGGTACCCCACCTTGCTCGAATGCTTGGCACATTTTTAGTTTGCATTCTCCAGACCAAAGAGACTATATCACATGATTCGGGGCAAGCCTTACCCTAGCAACCCCAATGGCCTGAAAAGTGTCTTTGTGCCATTCTCATCCATTGTGAACAATGTACCGGTATTGATGCTAAGCATCTCTTATGTAACTACATGCAAGAGCTTGCCCCGAATCATGGGAAAGTGTTTTTGGTATAGCGAAGTAAAAATGTTAAAACGTGCCAAGCATTACATGTATGAGCAAGTCAGTGTACCAAATGTTATTCAAATTTAACTCGCAAAGGGTATGGGTTATTCGCAAGTGGCTTATTTGGTAGCTCAGTAGGATTATAGAGACTCATTTAGTAACCAGTGGAAGCAACTCTTTATCAGAAATTTAACTTTTGTAGTTTCCAAAAAACTTGAAAGGGAAGTAAATATAGGGCCTATAGTGGCTATATTGTTGGGACAAACTGGTAGCACATATGTACAACTTTATAGTATCAGAGGATTGAATTGGGCATGTTATAGTTTCCATGTATTTTCCCAAAGAAATTGTAAGATATGACTGTATGGTGGCATAGTTAAGAACTCATTTATTTAGTTCTTAACCAGTTTGTAATCTTCCAAAATATAAAACTGGAAACTCAGAAAATTTCCTTTTTGGGCCTTCTTATACTTTTCTTTTAACATGTTTAAAGCTATACTCCATCATTTGCAGCTATCCGAAAAGTAATTGGCGTAATTATTGTTGAAAAACATACTTGGTTGAAAGATAGTAAGGGGACTAAACTCCCTGTGAAATTATTCGTTCTGGCAAGCTGTCATTTTGAAGTAATCAACGAAAGAAGGCCTTTCCAACGGTGCTTCTTAAGATGCACCGTAGGAAATTTAAATTAGTAGTTCGTTTTGTTATTCGGCGAAGCACGCGCAAGCATTGGCACGACGCACATGCATGCGTGGTTGCTATAATTCGTCGGCTCCGTGTGCGACATCGCATAGCTGCAATCGGTTCAGTGAGAACGTGTCTCGGACGCTGAATTCAGGCCCAATTCAAAACATGATTCAGCAACTTTTGATTTGAAATTGAGATCCTAGAATGCTTTTTTTCTCAGAATATAAAGCTGAAGCTGAGCTGAAACTTCATCAGGTTAGTTGTTCAGTACCCTTCTTTAGATTTGAGCACTTTTGTTGCTTCAAGCGAACAAAATGCACAAATTACAAATGATGGACTATATCTTTAAGTGAAAACAGTATTTTGGTACATGTAGAATAAAATATGACTTTTTAAACCTGTTTTCTACTTAGTTGTCTGAGATGAAATGGCATCCCGATCCGCGCCCAGAACACCGGGGAAGTCTCCCTCCCAGCGGGCAGGTAGGCCGACCCCTGGGGGTATCGGTCATGGGGCTGGCGAAGGTGCAGCCTCCAGACCTGTGAAGAAACCCTCCGATAGACTGAACCCCAAAACTATTGACCCTGTGAGTCCCTTTTGTTTCTTCGGTATAAAATCGGGTTTTCGCGGCGGCGGGTTATCGCATATATATCAAACCATTACAATGTCTAGCCCCTAGGTTAAAAATTGGTCAGGTACTTTACCAGTGAGTTGCAACGATCCTGTTTGGCTTGAAAAGTTTTGGTCTCAAAATCAGACTGTGAAATTTTGTCAAGGTAGCGTTTGTTTATGGTGTAAATCGAGGACACACGCGTGCAACATCATCGGTGAATCGAGGACAGGAACCAAATCGAGGACGACCTCGATTAGAAAACGTGTACAAAACCAATAAGAGCTGTTGCAAAAAAAAGTTTGAGTGCAAACAAAGGAAAAGGGAAGGGAAACAAAAGAAAATCCTCGATTTACACCATAAACAAACGTGCTAGAAGAGGATTGTGTATTCCTTGGTGCAGGTAGACTAAAAATGTGAATTTCCCCATAAAATATTTGATGAAACGGATGTTCTTGTGTGGTGACATTGATGAATGCGCGAGTCGCAAGGGATGTTCATTATCCATGTCTTTGTTTATGCAGTCCAATTTTGTTCACAGAATGAAAATAAAACTTAATTATACCATGCTGTTCGTGCGGCATTATTAAAAGATCGGCGAAGCGTGAACAAAAACCTGCTCATGAAGTTTTACTTGTCTGTTGCATTTTGTGTTTCCGCGGTCTGGTGCCCTTGTCATTTGTGGAGTAGTTTCGCATCTATCAAAAGGTGGTGCATGGTACATATGAGTTTTGGCCTGACCCATTTTCGATGAAATCCTGTCTGGAATACTAGTATGGTTATTATTGTTGACATTAAAAACATTGCCTGAAGTTGCAAAACAACGGTAATTGGGTCATTTGTGTGCAGCTGCTCAGTGCATAAATTTGCTAAGCGTGAAGAAAAGCTAGGAACACGGTGAGAGCAAATTGGAAATGTTGGAATTTTTCAAATAGGCTAATATGCATTGAAATTCTCGATATCAACCTTTAGCAGGCATGAGAATCTTCCTGTTTAAACAGTTATTCCTGTTTTTTTTTGTTGCTCATATTTCTGTGTTTTTATTTATTTTTAGCCTGTTTTGGGGCTTTTTTGCCTGATTTCACATCTTTTTTCCAGTCTTTGCACAAGTTTCCTGGTTTTTTTTTCATTCAAATTCATTCTCATGCCTGATTTTTATTAGCTCTGCTACATGTATATCAGCAAAACGTTCAAACTTACACATCTAACCATTTTGGCGAGACATTTTGATTAAACTGAGATGACAATGTTCTGAAAGATATCGGTACACATTGTGAAGAAAACAGCCTTTTTTCAAATGAAGGAGTACTATTTTTTTTAACAAAAATGTACTGAACTTTTTATGCAGCAATTATTTTTCATCAAAAGTAAGTTCTTATATTAAGTTTGCAAAATTGCTATAGTCACTCAAGCCTTACTCACAATTTCCTTTTTTTGATCTCAAAATAAATAGTGCAAAAAAGTACCGGCTGCGTCGTCTTCATAATCGAAATAATGGAGATTGATTTCAATACAGGTACCGGTAGGTTGGGTTATAACACACATTTTTTTTCCGGCTTTGATAAGTCACAAAAAAGGTTGTTATGTAGTTTCCCAAACAAGAACGGAATTAAAATATAAATTGCTGAAAGGAAACTAAAGATGGCAGATCATCATAAACTGCCAGGGACAGAAATTTTCTGAGAATGAGAATCTTTCCTCATAGTCTGCTACTAAAAAGAACTTGTGGTTTTTGGTCTTAACATTTTTTTGAGAGTCAAAATATTGACCCCCGAAATTCATTCTCGGACATGGTCCTTGCAAGACTAAGGCCCCCCAAAAAATAATTCTGCTTTCGATTACATGACATTCGAAAATAGGATAGGTAGGTAGGGAATGTTTGTTTTTTTGCCAATTTTTTTGTGTGGACGATCATATGGAGGTGTCTGCATGTAGTCAAGGGTAAAAGGTAGAAAATGAAGGCTTTGGGTATTTTTATTTTCATTTCTCCCATAAAAAATCAGCGTAGGGGCTGTCAGAATAGGGTACATGTAGGTAGGGAAACCGGAAACAGAACTATTTTTTTTTGGCCTAATACAAAAACACTGAGTTTTTAAAGGATGGTTGTGTGGACGTTTATATCCTACTTTTTAATGCTCTTTCCAATTAACGTGACTTCGTTTAAAATGCATTTTGTAGCCCAATTGTGCACATTCAAGGATGTAAACTTGTCCTTTTAATTTGTTAATTTTGGTTTCATTTTGTCCCTTTTTATCACAGTTCAAGGAATCCAAGAATCCGAAGTCTGCCTTTGCAAGTGTCTATGCCAGTGGAGGCATTCCATGCAGGTACACGCACGCTCAAATTGTCATCTGAATTCAGTTTTTTTAACTTTTTTCCCCCCAGTAACTACAACACTGATGTACAATGTACAGTACTCCCAAATTTAGGCATCTGTAGGTGATGGGCAGGTATCAACTGCAGATTCTGCCTGGGGGAAGGAGGGGTTGGTGAGACTAAATATCATGATACCGTATTTTACCCTATAGCAAATGCCTTTCAATCAGTGTAGAATTACTATTAATATCTGCTCGCAGCCTGTTTGCATTGTTGAGAAATGCGATCTTGTGCATGTACATGTACATAGATCATGCGTGTCATTTACAGTTTTCTTGTTAAAGTAGGAATTTGACACATCATGGCTAATCATCATTGGAACTTGACCCATCATCAAAACATGTCCAATCTAAACAGAGCTTGCTTGTTAACTTTATGGACGTCATTCACAAGTACCGAGATAGTACCCCCTTAATACATGTAGTTACAACTTCATTCACAAGTATGATCTGAATGGTTACAAAGAGAGATTTGGGGAGACCACTTGGAGGGACATTTGTACATATTGCTGACGAAGCCCATGCAAAAACCTAATATATTTGTGTGTGTGTGCCATTCAGAATAACAACGGTCCTACGTACTATGCAAAGTGGTCAAAGAGAGCCATTTAACAATTGTTGACTGCTGTGATGTGGGATATGACGTTTTTAACACCCGAGGGGTGCATAGGGGGTGCATAGCACTACAGGCAAAGCCTTGATTGCTTTGCGCCCCGAGGGGGTTGAAAACGGCATATCCCACATTGGTTTGTTATATCGTGCCACTAAGTCACAAAGATAAATGGTTGTAACTTACCTTCTGAGAAATAAAGTAAATCACTGCAATGTAACCTTTGATACCTGAAGGTTTTGATGTCCTGGCGTACATGAGACTAAGCATTTGACGCAAGCGTGCCAGCAGGTTCCACACGCGCGCACAATGCACGCAATGAATGCAGTGCGATATTATCACCCTCAGTGTGTGACATGCATTTTTATTGGCTACATGTTGACGCGTGGCCGTGCTTGAACAATGAAACTACAACATCCAAGCACACGATATATGCTAACAACTTCTGTTGATGCATGGATTCCATTAGTTTTTCAACAAATCCATTTCACATTCTCCACTACCTTCTGTTTGGATGAATGTTATAGCCAACTTTTCAAATTTTTACTTGGTTTTTTTAATTTTTTTTTTTTTAGATTTAAACTTGTTCTTCAGACTGTAAAATTTGATAGTTTTCCTTTTTTGTTAACCTCTTATCAGCTGGGGAGAAATCTGGCTTTTTTGCACACACATTTCCCATAATACTACAATTGTAACTTCAGTGTTATAAATCTTAAGGATAACTGGGCACTGAATTGCACCATAATAGGGACAACAAAAATAAGCAGATTTATAGAAAATAACATTCAGGCAGAACTTTTCACGTCTAGCAGGAAAGCTAAACAGTGATCATATAGACAATACATGATTATTGTAATTCAAGTCACAAGTTTTCTCCCCTTTTTGGCATGATATAACACAACAATTATATTGTTGACTGCATCTTTTTACATAATCAAGTGACTTGTCTTTTTTAAGGTGTGAAAATTACATGCACAAATACAGTTCTAGTCAAGTATGTTATGATTCAGGAAAATGAAGGATTTCCAATTTACAGTGTATCACACTGTTCTCGGACCGTGCTATCGGTCGACCGTGCCGCCATCAGTTGATCGCGCTGCCATCGGTCAATCACCTGTTCTTTCTAGTTAAAACTCTGGAGGGTTGTTTTGAAAAAGGGAAGTAAAGTCTGAGATTTCCTTCGGGACCGATCGATCGAGTGAAGGCGCAGATCCACACATTGCGCCCAGCATATCCATAATCAAAAAACATATTTATGCTCATAGTCATCGTGGACAGAATTATTAAAATTTATCGTTTTATTGGTTGGTCTGGATCCTATGTCGTCAGCTCATGTTGCATACATGTTTGCGCATATATCCATTTTACTTCTCTGCAGCAGTGTCTGAGACATGTTCCCCATGGAACACCAGACGTGCAACTTCACACTGATTACCCCGACTGTAACGGGCTGTTTAACAAGATGTATCCAACATGTCATTTGCTTATTGATTCGTAACACTTGATACAGCACCCCGACGGTGTCCAGAATTTATTGGCATTCTTCACATTCACGGTTGGTGAAATTCACACCAGACCAGAGAATACATACCGGTACTTCATTCATTCATTCATTCATTCATTTTATTTATTCATCATGAAAATATGAAAATTGTCTTCCCAGTCATAAAAAACACACAAAAAACCATACTAATACATTTTACAACACCATGGTGGATAGAACAAGTAAAAATGCAACGAAAGTTCACAATGAAAATTAACACAGCACTTTGTATGAACTTTCTCGAAGAGGATGAATCCGGGAATGTTAAATTGAAAAATGTAGTTTTTATGAAACAAAGATTACAGTACTTATCTAGACAACATGACAGACAATGGAGAGAAAGCCAACATTTTGGGAAAGGAGCACCAAGAGCAATGGGGATAGGAATCAAGAAGTTTTAGCAAAATGTAATTGTAATTATTTTAATAATTTACAGTTCACAAATTAACTCACATAAACCAGAATAAACAGATGGAAACAGAAATTAATTGTTCATCATAAATCAAGTAAATCATACGAATTAGCCATTTCTTGTGAGAGGGGAGGGACATGAGCTTCCAGTGTGGGTGGAATCCTGATCTTGAGTTTGCAGGGGGAACATATTTCAGAAGTTGCGAGAGTTCTTGTCATGATTGGAGTTATCTTGATCAGCGACCTCTGAGACCAGGAGCTTGGTGTGACGGACAGGCATAGACCGGATCAGTGGAGCGGTCAGGCTAGCTGGGAACAGCACCAAAATGCTGGCCCGAGCCATAGAGGGCCAAGTCAGAGGTCAGTCCGGCGGCCGTTGTGGAAAGGGACTGTACCTAGTGCAGACGGCAACAGGCAAGGCACTGCCAAGTCAGTGGCACTTAGGAAGCCTGACAGTCGGGCGGCATGGCACCACCAGAGAGGGCTAGAGTCCTTCAAGGGTGAATTTCCAATGCTTTTAAATCCGGCGGGAAATTCCAACATCCATTCCACTGGTCAGGAATGTGGCTGGACTTTTGGCGCAAATTCTCCCATAGGGAACAAAAAGTCATAGCAGTTGGAACAAAGTAGGACAACTGAGGGGGCTATTGTGTTTTTTTTTACGTAATCAGTAATTTGCATTTACTTTAAAACTTTAAATTTGAATACTGTACATTTAAAAAAATTCTTAACAACATGTACTTCTATTGGCACACATATACATGTACAGTGAAATGTTCCCTGATCTTGCGTGCCTTGAACATTTAAAAAAAAACATCACGTGTACGCAATTACAATTACACACTTTACAAAGAAAGTAAAAGCATACAAAAATATACATTAATATTTATGTCATTAGTACTAAAACAGTATATAAATGGCAGCTAAAATAAAATGATGAAAAAAGAAAGAAGCCAGAACAACTTAACTAGTGTGGCATAATTAAAAATAAAAATTGCAGTCATGTTTACACCTACGGTATTTTGGAGTGCCATGATTAAGAATACAAACAGCTGTCGGATAAAAACTCGGCAATGTACGATTTGAACCAGATTTAATTGATGATATCGGTTCTTTGATCGTACGGGCTGGAAGAAGTCGTGTGCTGGATGAAGCTTGTCGTCTACCTGTCTACAATAGAGTGAGCCTTTTTCTTAACTTGAGAGTGCTACAAATCATCAAGTGATGGGAGTTGACATCCAGTGATCTTACTTGCAGTACAAGCAAACGATCCGACTGATATGCTTCCGGTATTGCCCAACCAAACGAGTAGGCCCCCTATTGACTGTGTCAAAACACTTTCAATCACCGCCCGGTAGAACTTCAACAGCAGTCTCTGACTGACATGGAAGCTTCTCAGCCATCTCAAGAAAAACAATCTTAGCTGTGTTTTTTTTACAATGAAACCAGCATTTAATCCGCATTTCAAGTGTGATGCTAATGAAAACCAAGGAATTGAAAATATTGCACTCTTTCAACTTCAGAGCTGTTGATGACTATTAAAGGAGCATAACTTCCTTCGTTTTGCTAACATTCAATTGTAAATTGTTCTCAGAGCACCAGTTTACAATAGATTGGACTTCATTACGATATGATGTCTCATCGTTTTTGATTAATCCACCCACAGTCGTGTCATCAGCATAATTATCGGCATAATTATTTAACAATAAAGTCGCCAGCAGAAGTAGTGACTCAATCGTATGTAAATAATGAGTACAGCAAAGGAGACAAAATACAACCTTGAGGCGTGCGGGTATTTAAAACCAAAGGTTTGGAATGATTATTACCGACTCTGACAATCTGGGAACGATCCAATAAAAAGTCTAAAACCCAAGTTTACAAACACTGACATTCAACCGTAACAAAATCAACTTGTCAACTAACTTTAAAGGAGAAATTGTGACAAAGGCTGAGCTATAATCAATAAATAAAAGTCTGGCATAATTAGCGATTTTCTGATCCAGAAACTGTGCAACATTTAATAATAGGGACACTGCGTCTTGGGACAGCCCAATTGGGCTACAAAACGCACTTTGAACGAAAAGATGTTAATCGGAAAGAACATTTGAAAGTAGGATATAAACATCCACACAACTATCCTTTAAAAACTGGGTGTTTTTGTGTTATTCCTGTATTATGTGTGCAAAAACGACTTTCGGGGTCCACTTTTGCAACCCCAAAAAGTCAAGCTGTTTGGGTGCTAGCTGTGATTTCATCCGTAAAGTGTTCACCTTTTGTGAACATGTAAGAAACCACATTTTGTGCATTGGTGATTGGTCACCGCTGTTCAGTACTGTGCTGTTGACACACACAACGTGTATATCGTACATTGACTGAAAACGACAGGAAAAGCATATTCGTACTCCGTCGTGTCCGATGTAAACAACCAGGTCTTTTTCGTCTTTTCTCGGGAACAGTAATACATTAGGTTGGTTTCCTTTCAACCAGATGTTTGAAATAGGATTTATAGTAAACAATCCAAAACATGAAATTTTCGGGGATTTCAGGACCTAGTGCCCTTTAATAATGCGAGAGAAACTGAATCCTCTACCGATCTGTTCTTTTTGAATGCAAACTGATATGGATCAAGAGTTGGTGGGATATTAGTTAAAATATATTGTCATACCCAGAGGCTCTAATCTAGACACTTTGTAACCATCGATGTCAATGCAACTTGGCGGTAATCATTCAAGTCGTTTAGGCACAGGAATGACAAATGATTTTTTTTGAATGCCTTTGGCACATGACAAATCTTCAAAGACCAATTAAATACTTCAAGCAAGTACTGTGACTAGTCAATTCAGTCAACGGACAAAAGCAGGCAAGTAGTAGGCAAAGCTGGCTTATCAATCACCTACAGTCAAAGCATAGCTGTATCAAGTTACATACATGTACAAATGTACATAAACAGTCACAGCCAGTCGATCCTGCTTTCTGTTGGCTGGGAGCTCTTAACTGTTGAAAACAGTCACTTGATTGATTTTGACTGAAAAGACAATGTATGTTTGCATAGGAGGGGTGTGGAAATTGTTAAAACTTCTACCGAAAAGTCGTGCGTAAATATAAACAAGTAGGGAATGGTTAGGCACATGGTTTAAATGTAAAAAAAAAAAAGGGGGGGGGGGGGAAATTGTCAATTTTGAGATTGACAAGTTCCACATCCTACCCGATACCGGGTATGTGTGCTCTAACCATATCTGTTCGTCTGCGAAACCTCTCTAATCTGATTAAAAGAAAAACCATTTGAAATTTGTTTTTAGGGTTGAAAACCTTGTTTTCCACTTTGCTCTTCAACATAGACCAGAATGCACTGTATCGACCAGAATGCACCGCATGATGTGTGATATCTTTTTTGTATTCTTTGTTTGTTTGTTTGCAGACTGGTCCACGGATCGGTGAAGCACAAGCTGCAGTGGGATTCCAACCCATCTGACCTGCCCTTTGACCCCTTGTTGGTGACCCTAGCCGAGGTAGGTTGTATTTTGTAAATATTCATTAAGAATAGGGGTGCATTCCTTCTATGCAAACAAATCTTTGTTTGCCAATTTTGACAACATTAGCACATGGGAACCAACTGTTTGCCACAATCGTTGGTGAACGTTGCCAACAAAGGCAAACAGGTTTTATGGGTCATTTCGCTGAGATTTTCCAAAATGGCTGCCTCACACATGGTGAACGTCATGCTTCTGTCAAATCTTAAATTTAGTTGATTTCTTCCATCTAAATTCCACCAGGAATCATATCACTGGCAAAAGTGTACTTCTAGTCACAAGTAATTTGTTGAAGGATTTTAAATGCTGCTATCTTAACAGTGACACAATTAGAATGGCTCTGCTGTTTTTACAACGATTTCTTTTAATGACATACATGTATTGTTCCATTTGGGGGTAGCCTTATAAATGTTGCCAATTTACTATACTAGCTACCTCCGTAAATAAAGGCCACACTTGGAACATATATCCGAACATGTAGAACTTTGTGAAATTTAGATTTTCACATTTGGGCTTTATTTGTAGTTTATTTGCACTTTAGAAGCATTCTCACCCTCTTTATAGCGATAGAACATTTATCCCCCCTTTTTCAGACATCTATATTTCGTGTAATTTCCAGGTTCGTTTGGACGCATTTGCATATCTAAATTCCAACACGAAATTACACAAAAAGTAGATGTCTCAAAAAGGGGGATACATTTTCTACCGCTATAAAGAGGGCGAGTATGCTTCTAAAGCATAAATAAACTACATGTACTAATAAAGCCTAAATGTGAAAATGCAAATTTGAAGTTCTACATGTTTGGGTACATGTTCCAAGTGTGGCCTTTATTTACGGAGGTAGTCCAGTAAATTGGCCACATTTATTGGGCTAACTTGGGGGTTGTACTTTAGAAGAGGCCCTCGCTAACGATTGATTCTCATGAGTGGAACTCATTGCCAGGGGTAGAGCAAATACACATGTATTGGTCCTAACCACCTGTATCCTTCGAAATCCACTCAGGAGGTTTTTGTGGATTTTGTAGGATCCAGGAAGGTACCTAGCAAAGCTTTTATTACTTAACATGAGTCCTGGATCCCTTTTAAAATAAGTACAAACGATGTGCCAGTATTTTCCTGTGTTCTGGAGCATTTGGGAAGATCCATCTCTGGGTAACCTAAGCCAAGACCTTAAAGTTTTGTGCTTATTTGTCTTTCCTCAAATCATGTCTGCATTTTGTGTCATCTACCTGGGTAGCTTGTGCCATGGGTGGCATTGGCGGCTAGTGCGTAAAGTGCTCGCCTCTCACCACTGTGGCCCGGGTTCGATCCCAGGCTCGGACCATATGTGAGTGGAGTTGTACGTTCATTCTGTCCTGTGCCACAAGGGTTTTTCTTCGGGCTCTCTGGTTTTCCTCCCTCCGCAAATATTAACAATTTCAATCTGGCTGTGCCCCGTGATCAGACATGGGTCGTACGGCAGCTGCCTAAGGCACCTTTACATGTGCACGCCTTCAGGTCAATCACTCTGCGTCCTTCGCAATTTAGCTTCTCAGCTTCGAGTAGGGATATTAGCCCCAAAATTATTATTGTTATTATTATTATTGTTCCATTTGCAGGGTCTCCAAGAGTTTAAGCATCCCTATCAGTTTGTTGCTCAGCAAGGGTTTAAGGAGCTGTTGGAGGTTCCTGATGCGAGCGTCAAGGCCTCGGTGGTCCTGCCAAGAATCATCGTCCCTCTCAGAACTGCCTTGGTAGGTTTATGCATTCTTGTCTTTCTTTAAGACACAAGCAATTGATATTGGATCACGACACATTGGCATCTGTGTTGTTTCACCCATAGTGACACTGTGAACATCCTGGATGTGATTTCCCTACAAAAATGGAAATGTTATTTGGGTGGATGTGATGTTGGAGCTAGAATGTGATTTTGGCAGGGATTATCCGAAATCACATCTGAGCCGGAAATCACATCCACTGTCTGGCCACTTAACCAAAATCACATCTACTGTACATGGGCCATATCCAAAATCACATCGTATTTTCACACCTCTCCAAAATCACATCCAGGATTAAGTCATAAACCCCAATTCCACATCCTGGTTGCCCCACTAGTCCAAGATCACATTTGTCAAAGGAGATTGACAGCTCTGTTATTCAATGTCACATCCTTGTGGTCAGGCGCACAACCATAACGGCCTATATTAATCACCGACTGACCACAATGTTTACCTATTAATTAGGGGACAATGACCAGGACATTTGTTTGTTTGCCTGTTGATATACTGCTCTGGCAGTTTTACCTACATGTATGCTGGCTACATTGCCATGTACAGTACACGCATTTATAGTTTGTTTTACAGTTGCTCTGCCACCACTTCCCTGAGCCAGACTTGGGCATCATGAGTCCACTCAGACTATTTTGACTCGCTCCCACAACCGTCATGGGAATATCCTGTATGGCGAGTTGAACAGCTTTTTAGGGGGAACCAATCAGCTATTGCAAAATTTGGATTGCATGATGATAGCACACACAGTTTAAATTTTCTGATCACGTGCAATGAACAACCTACATGTGCTGCCAGATTTCAGACCAAAAAAAATTGAGAACAATTGTCACATGGCAGGAATTGCATTCACAGTATCACCAACGATTAGTATGCCATGAAGTTTAAGAAATTTCAAATTTGGTATTCAAAGAAATGTGACTTACGATTTGCATGTCAACAACTCCTTTCCATGCACGAGAAGACACAATGAACAGAAGATTGGGCTTCATGACCATTCATGAGAGATAATAATAATAACAAGGCATTTGTAAGGCACACAGTATGTGACAATAATAGTCATTCAAAGGCACCGGTCAGTGAAAAGTCAGTGTGTGTGAAGGTAGAGGTCATTATGTGTGAGAGAGAAACTGATTGAAGAGGTGGGTCTTTAGTTGGCGTGTGAAGAGAGATAATTGGTGTGTTGCCCTTATAAACTCGTCTGGTAACGAGTTCCAGAGACGCATGTGGGTCTGTTCACACTAAATGTCACAACTGCACAACATGAAAAATAGCTCTCATTTAAACCATGTTAAAAGTCAAGAAATAAACTTAAATAATTGTAGTAGTAGTCATTCAATAGTAGAGATATAGTGTACATAATAATAAAGGATTTGGATGTTAGTTGTTGAAATAATGAGAAATTTGATAAAAATGTCCAGCTTATTTTGGGGGGTCCAGGTGGGACATGTATATAACTGTGTGTTCTCATGTTTTTCAAGTTATGTAAAATAGGCATTAAAATGAGGAAAAACACAGTTCATGGGTACTGAAAATGTTACAGATGAGAAATAAGTTGAAATCAAAAGCTCTATATTTTTTTTAAAATTAGTTTAAACAGGAATTTAAACGCAGAAAATTCAGCAATCACGTATGTCACGGCGTCTGTCCACAGAGTGACAAACGCGATACATGCTGTTTTTTCCATGTTATCAACAGCTAACTTCAACAAAAAATGTACATTTTGCTGAGGAAACTACTCACCTTTAATGCATATACTTTTTTGTGGCTTTTTGTTCAGTTTAGAAACAAAAACACGGATCCATGTAAAAGAAATACAAATGTCTGTCCATTTTTGATCACGTATGTCACATGATTTAATTTCTTGCCAACCATAAAAATCTTTAAAGACTAGTCTTATGAGTGCACATACATTGATAAAAAAGGTATGTGCAATACAACTGCCATTATTTTATTATTAGAAGTCAGTCCATTTTGTTGAACAGAGATCGAGAAGATCGTCTGTCCTCAGCTCCCAGAAGGTGACATACGTGATACTATAGTGTTTGCACATGTCTGTCCCATGTAACAAACATTACTCATTGAAACAAAACTACATGGTGTTCATATAAAATAAAGTAAGTCTTTATGTAATTAAGATTATTATAAACTAATTTAGAAAAATATTGGCTTACATATATATGATCAATACTGTTTTCATTCTTAAATTTGACTTTAAAACACAAAAAGTCTGTCCATGTGACAAACATGATAAATGAGTCTGTCCTTGTGACAAACGTGATTCATTGAAACAAAATTTCACGCTGTTCATCTATTGAAGTAGTCTTTATGCAAATAAAATGATCACAAATAAACTTGAGAGAATAGTTAAAACGTTTGGGTAATTATCAGTCACATTTTTATTTCTAGTTAGACATTTTGTACACAATACAGTATGTCTGTCCATGTGACAAACGTGATGTTTAATACACGTCAGCATTTATTCATGGTAATTTAATTATGTGGGTTGATCAGTCTTAAGAGATTGGAAATAGGAGTTTACAGGTGCCTTATCTAATAACCTTTAATGTTAAAATTATAATTTATTTTCTAAAAGAATTAACTAAGAAATTGTTTTGTCTGTCCATGTGACAAACATGACGTCCAATGTCTGTCCATGTAACAAACATGATATCAAAAACATGTCAGTATTTCTCACTTCCAGGTTATCACAGATTGACTGGCCAACGTAAACAAAATCTGCATAGGATTTTTAGGGCACTTACAACTTTGGTGTGATGAAAAAGGTCATCTTCGAGAAACAAACCAATCGTTAAAGCTGTTTTGTCTGTCCCAGTGACAAACGTGATTTTCTCTGCATCATCCACCTTGTAAATCCTGAAGAAAGACTACAGTCTCTTTGAAAGTTCCTTGAATATTAACATTGGGGTAGTAAATGACACCAAATCAAGTGTGATAGAATTATATGTAATTTTGTGGAACTAGGATGAAGCGAAGAAATATGTCTGTCCCTGTGACATACGTTATGTCTTCAAGATTAACTTGCCATAACTTCTTAAATACTGTTTGAATTATCTTGGCCTTTCTTGGTTAACAAGCATACACATGGATGTTAAACACAAACCAAAAAAGAGGGGGGAAATTTGTTGTTCAAATTTCTCCAGCAATGTCCCACAATTGTGACATTTACTGTGGACAGACCCATGTACATGTACATGTGGGACACATTGCCTGTGCTCACTAGTTCACACTAGTTCCCAAACTAGAGATGGTGGTGTCACACCCTCATTATTTGTTTTTGTCGGCAAAATCATTGTCCTAATTGCAAAATCGTGTCTCTGTCGGCGTACATGCAGTATGTATATGCCTCAATGAAGAGTGCTACATATTGGGTCGTATGTATAAAAACTAGCATTTGCTTTTACTACCCATTTTTAAACATTTACGTGCAATTGTATGAATAAAAATGAAGCAAATGCTTTTACTGGAAAGCATTTGCTGAAAGCTTAAAGTATTTACTTTTTACTTGCTAGCTTTCGCTAGACTAGAAGTGTTTACTTCATTTCGTATGAATAAAAAGGAGTAAATGCTTCAGATTTCAAGCATTTACTGGTCATTTTTCAAGGCTGGGTTGGGGCAACCTTGAAAATATAAAGCAAATAGGCCTACTTCTGCGCAAAAACTGCTGTATTTATTAATATTAATCGCCCCAAAATTGACACAAAACGTTAATAAACTACATATAATACCATACACTGTATTTTGACTAACATTTATGCCCAATTTAAATACTTATTTATTATGTATTTTATTACTAGAATTAGAAATGATAATTTCGCATTTTGTTCACGATATATGAGAAGTGTTAGCGTAAAATTCAGTGCGGCACAGAATGATTAAGGATAAATTTTATCCAACGGCACCCTGGGGACTGAACAAAATGAAATCATTTGTTTAGTTTATTAGGTCACCAATCTTTGCAAACTATTATTTTTTTAATATTTCAATAAACAAAACTCTTTGTGTATCGAATGTTGGTATGATTTCACCCACTTTAACACGTCTGTGATTTTTATGCAATTGTGACGTCTACAGGACACTGTGGACCTTTACAATTTTCATGAATGATGAAAGTATACTTTTTGTATTCTGCAATTTGAGGATCAAAATGTATGTACTACTACACGTACGGTATACATCACCTTGATTTGGACTATTACACCACGTGTAAACCCTCCGTGTGTGCGGCAGTTCGTACACACAAAAGAAACCCTATAGTGGCAATCATTCGGCCATGAAAACAATCCAACAGTAAAAAGCATTGGCTACCTGTTGTCTAGTAAATATTTATGCTGAACAGTAAAGGAAAACTTTTATTCAATTAATGCTTGTACTCCAAAGTAAATGCTTTTACTTTTTGCTTAAACTTCCTAGCATTTACTAGTTTTTACACATACGACACCCATTGTCTGATGGTGTTAAGTCTCATTTGCTTTTAAGAGTAATCCCAATTCGTAACATACATGTAGTGTCCTCTATCCCCTATCATCCCCCCCCCCCCCCAGCTTCTATGTTTGCGACGGCCAGGTCAGGGAAAAGTCCAGGCAACCTTCCAGCACAGAGTGGTCAGTTGGCAATTTAGTTGCTGCACCCCCCTTCCCCCCCCCCCTCCTCCCCAAGTGAAATTTGTTGGTTGAGCCCATGACATAAACCATCATTGCATCAGCACATTAGGTATAATGCAGCAATGCGGTCAAGGCTCATCATTGAGGGGGTGTTTGTGCACAGATTCCATGGCATGTTTACACAAAGACAGCATGTTTTGCCAATCACGGATAATTCATCCCCAATAGTTTAATTTGCGTACAACAGATACCGGTACATGCCATCTCCTAACTGAAGACTAAAGATAATAGAGTAAATATGATGGTACATGTAATTACCGGTATGAATATCAGCCAATCCCA